GTGTCTCTACTTTAAAGAGTCCTCTCCTGCTGATGTTCAGGTGCATATCAGTATGTAGTGTCTCTACTTTAAAGAGTCCTCTCCTGCTGATGTTCAGGTGTATATCAGTATGTAGTGTCTCTACTTTAAAGAGTCCTCTCCTGCTGATGTTCAGGTGCATATCAGTATGTAGTGTCTCTACTTTAAAGAGTCCTCTCCTGCTGATGTTCAGGTGTATATCAGTATGTAGTGTCTCTACTTTAAAGATTCCTCTCCTGCTGATGTTCAGGTGTATATCAGTATGTAGTGTCTCTACTTTAAAGAGTCCTCTCCTGCTGATGTTCAGGTGTATATCAGTATGTAGTGTCTCTACTTTAAAGAGTCCTCTCCTGCTGATGTTCAGGTGTATATCAGTATGTAGTGTTTCTACTTTAAAGAGTCCTCTCCTGCTTATGTTCAGGTGTATATCAGTATGTAGTGTCTCTACTTTAAAGAGTCCTCTCCTGCTGATGTTCAGGTGTATATCAGTATGTAGTGTCTCTACTTTAAAGAGTCCTCTCCTGCTGATGTTCAGGTGTATATCAGTATGTAGTGTCTCTACTTTAAAGAGTCCTCTCTTGCTGATGTTCAGGTGTATATCAGTATGTAGTGTCTCTACTTTAAAGAGTCCTCTCCTGCTGATGTTCAGGTGTATATCAGTATGTAGTGTCTCTACTTTAAAGAGTCCTCTCCTGCTGATGTTCAGGTGTATATCAGTATGTAGTGTCTCTACTTTAAAGAGTCCTCTCCTGCTGATGTTCAGGTGTATATCAGTATGTAGTGTCTCTACTTTAAAGAGTCCTCTCCTGCTGATGTTCAGGTGTATATCAGTATGTAGTGTCTCTACTTTAAAGAGTCCTCTCCTGCTGATGTTCAGGTGCATATCAGTATGTCGTGTCTCTACTTTAAAGAGTCCTCTCCTGCTGATGTTCAGGTGTATATCAGTATGTAGTGTCTCTACTTTAAAGAGTCCTCTCCTGCTGATGTTCAGGTGCATATCAGTATGTAGTGTCTCTACTTTAAAGAGTCCTCTCCTGCTGATGTTCAGGTGTATATCAGTATTTAGTGTCTCTACTTTAAAGAGTCCTCTCCTGCTGATGTTCAGGTGTATATCAGTATGTAGTGTCTCTACTTTAAAGAGTCCTCTCCTGCTGATGTTCAGGTGTATATCAGTATGTTGTGTCTCTACTTTAAAGAGTCCTCTCCTGCTGATGTCCAGGTGTATATCAGTATGTAGTGTCTCTACTTTAAAGAGTCCTCTCCTGCTGATGTTCAGGTGTATATCAGTATGTAGTGTCTCTACTTTAAAGAGTCCTCTCCTGCTGATGTTCAGGTGTATATCAGTATGTAGTGTCTCTACTTTAAAGAGTCCTCTCCTGCTGATGTTCAGGTGTATATCAGTATGTAGTGTCTCTACTTTAAAGAGTCCTCTCCTGCTGATGTTCAGGTGTATATCAGTATTTAGTGTCTCTACTTTAAAGAGTCCTCTCCTGCTGATGTTCAGGTGTGTATCAGTATGTAGTGTCTCTACATGTCTTCATGCTTTAACGTTCAAAAAGCTCTTTATTTCTCTCATACTGTCTGTGCTACAGCACCTCTTTTCACCCTCTGTCTGAAACCAGAGCCCAGTCTGCTCTGATTGGTTAGCTGGCCGGCTCTGTTGTGATTGGTGAACCGTTTAGAGATGTCCCGCCGTTAAACCTCATATACAATGTGTTGGAGCACTAGCCAATAGAAGCGCGAGTGTTATGTAATGATGTCACTAAAGTAGGGAAGTAAACAAAGGAGTCCAATGGAGGCGTTTCTTGCAGGAGGGTAACTTTGGGATTTTAGCCTTTGCAGACCATTTAAATGCACTAAAACATAGAACAAACTACAGGAGAGGGAACACCCAGAGAAAACATAATAGGGCGTCTTTAATAGCTTGAAATATGCTTTCCCTCAATCAAGTTTGAAATAGATTTGGGTTTATATGTCTATGCCTTGAGATATGTCACCCTTTGTAACATGACTACTTCTTCAATCTTGCAGGTTAGATGAAATAAAAGTTGTGGTGATGTTGCTACTGAGGACCACGCAACAGTGGAACACACACACACACACACACACACACACACACACACACACACACACACACACACACACACACACACACACACACACACACACACACACACACACACACACACACACACACACACACACACACACACACACACACACACACACACACACACACACACACACACACACACACACACACACACACACACACACACACACACACACACACACACACACACACACACACACACACACACACACACAGCTGCTGCTTTCCATCTCAGCGCCTGTGAAGCAGATTTGAAATAGCGGAGAGATAGAGGCACATCATCTGAGGAGAGCAGAAGTAAATATACTGTTTGGTACATGTTGTATTCTTTAGCCTCATGTCATCCTTAACCCTCTTAATTCTATTCATAATTTGCCGTTACACTAAACCATAGCTGCTACTTGACCTCAATTCTATGTTAAACGTCTCTATCTAGAAATAGTTTGTGATGTCTTTTTATACGTCAGATTATATTTATGCACTCGGATCGAGTGAGTCGCAGTCTGCTGCTTTGGAAATGTATTTCTTACCCAGGTATCAGTCACTTGACCTGTGGGATGGAATTTCTTTAGTCTATTACGTGAACCAAATATATTTATATAGGGCTGCACCTAGAGCTATATTGTTTCACAGTATTGTAAATATACAGGGACAGGTACAGGTATTGTTAACATCATTATGAAGCTAACAACTTTCAACGTTGCTCATAGTTACTCGTTATTCACTCATAATCAAAGGAACATTGGACTATTATCTCTTCTTATACATCTAGAGATCCAGTTACACCTAAAGTACTAGTAGCGATTCATTTGTGTCTAATATGTATGGGTTCAACTACAAACTGTCAGATGTCCTCAATCAGAGTTTCCACTGCAAGTCAACAATTTCTCATAGTTACTCATTATTCACTCATAATCAAAGGAACATTGGACTATTATCTCTTCTTATACATCTAGAGATCCAGTTACACCTAAAATACTTGGAGCTATTAATTTTTGTCTCGTGGGTTAAGCTAAAAACTGACAGATGTCCTCAATCTGCTTTCCACTGCAAGTCAAGAGTTGCTCGTCGTAACTCGTTATTCACTCATAATCCAAGGATGATTGGTCATTTATCTGACTTTATTATTATTTTCTTCACTTTCTAGAGATACAGCTACACTTAAATTACTAGTAGCGATTCCTTTTCGTCTCATATGTATCGGGGCATCTACTTGTTTCTTAGATTCTGCCTCAACTCTCCTCAGTTTGATGTTGATCTGATTCTCATGCAGACCTTGCCAGCGGCTCAGGGTCAGCTAACAGATGACCTCATCAGATCAGGCTCTCAGGGCCTTCAGATCCTCAAAGTCTAATGCTGATTTCCTTATGGGTCGGACCTACTTCCAATCCTTTCACAAAAAAACTCTCCCGCTTGTCGACACATCCGTCACCGTCAGGATTTGTTGTATTTGGGTTTTACGCCTGTTTTCTTGAGATCCCAACGCCTCTGCCTTTCCTCATAACTGTACCGCTGATGCATTAGCCTCAACAGGTGCTCTTTTCTGAAATGATCACTTAAGTATATTTAGATTTTGAAATCTGAGAGCGCCGGCCTGTGATTGGCTGTGTGGACCACATGATAACCTGGGTAGAAATCGCAGCTGTGTGCTTTCTCACAGCTTTTCTCTGGAGGGAAGCTGGGGAGGCTTTGGCGGCTTAGGAGAACATTTAACTTTGATTTAACTGGTAAGCAAAGAAAAATGGATTTTAAAAAAGCACAAATATCTATTTAGTTCTTCCTCACCTTGCATGGCTTTTCCATCGGTTTGGACTTCCATCATTTCCATCCTCTGCTGCCATGGATCCAGGAGGAGAGTTGATAAGGAGCTGCACATTTAAGGAATAACTAAGCAAGATCTGCAAGCAACATCTCCCCAGGCGTGCCTTTGGATGTATCTTGAAATGTCAGCAACAGCCCGGCCTTTTTCGTCTGGTCTCTTTGAAATCTCAACACCTGTCGGGGCTATTTTGTTCTTTTACCTCAACTTGCATCTATTTGTCTAAGTATTTCACATATATGTTTTTTCTTAATTTATTTAAAGAAAGGGCAATCGAGTGCTAAAAAAGGTACTTAGTATGCCATCCTATATTTAACCTGCAGCCCTCAGAAGGCATTGCCCTACCGTTTGCTAAACAGAGTCAACCAATCAGGCTGTGGCATTAGCTTACATGTCAAATAGCTGAAGCTCTCTGTTGGGCAGCTGTCGCCAACCTTCAGCCAGTTCCTCCATGTTGTGGCAAGTGAGGGAGGGGCGGCTTTTTCACACATCTAAAGGCCTATTATAATGCACTAATGTCTCACCTTCCTAATCTGCAACGCTCCCTGTGTAATTCTCTCATTGTCCTACTTTGTGACGCATTTCTATTGCTTTGTTTAGGACAAAAAGTTGGACTATCAGTTTGAGACCCTAGTGGATGACAAGGGAAACTTCCTTACAGTCAGGAATTTCAGCGGAAATCTTACCTTGGTATGGCGTCCACATTGGTTTACCATTACTATATATATATGTTGTTATTTCTCAGCGTGTATTTGCTGCTATAAGTCCTATATTTGATCGGGTAATTGGGTTCAACAGGGGATGACTGGCAGCATCTTAAAATACCCCTGGTGCAGTTGTCCTTTGATCTCTTGTGTCTAAGCCCCAGTAAAAGCTGTCTGACATTGTGAAGTGTTGCTACTGCTGGACACATTTAAGATAACTACATACTTTTCATGCTGTATGTATAAAAGCTTATGAGGCATAACCTTGTCCATTCAGAGTTTAAATAATGAACATCTTTTCAAATCTCATCTGTGTTTTGTCTAGAGCTTTTAACACCGTTCCAACATGGCAGACGAATTTGAGGAATTTGAAGAGAGTTATGAGGAGGAGGAATTTGTCGAAGAGGTAAGTAAAAACTGCGCACATTAATCGAACTGCAAAATTACTTTTCCTACCATACTTGACTAGTTTACTCTGAATATGATTTCACCTTATTTCAGCAGATTGAGGTTATCCACCAGTACAGTGGCAGACCCTATGAATAGTTAAGCTAGTGCCCCCCCCCTCCAGTCAGCACTTCAGTCGTCAGGATCCTGTTTCAAATGGGTTTTACATCCTGGATCGCCCTTAACGGCTAACTATAAATCTAAATTAACTCAAACTGAAGGTATACACATTTTCCTGGGACATTATCTGTTGTCCTATAAGGAGACTTTCTATGAGGCTTTACCTTATGACAGGTTGGTAGTAACTATGCTATCAAACTGTATAATAAATAGTATCTTCAGTGGTGATAACATGTCTAACCGATCAATGAACACATGCTGTAATGTTACCTAACTAACACAAGTACCCTTCATCTGTAATCAGAATCAAATTCCTTTATTTGTCCCACAACGAGGAAATGTACATTATAACAATAGAAGTGCAGATACAGTGACGAAATTAGACGTCAAGATACAAAGCACAATAGGATTAGATTTCATACAATTTGGGAACACGCCAGTTACCATTCTGTCTTGTTATTATAACTTAACCAATCGTGTGAAGTGGCGTGGACCACCAATCTCCAATTATATCTGCCTATGATCTGATAACCTGATATTTCCGGATGTTTTAATGCTGTGCCCTGGGTGTAAGAGTTACTGTGTTTCTGAATGTCTCACTGTGTCCAATGGAAGAGTGAAGTCAGAAGGCTAACAGCTTAGTCCTCTATTTCCTGGTGAAATGGGATTAAAGCCTGCCTTGTATTTGTTAATACCTAATATTGCTGATATCTTATAGGGGAGTCAAATGGTTATTTATCACCTAATCACACCGAGCAATTACTTTCGTGGTCATTGAACTCCCATATAACATATCAAATGGATCTACCATCTTTACCGCCATGATGGTATATCGACTGGAAGGCGGAAACAAACGGAGACCCACAAAGTCAATACACTCTGATTTCACTGGCACTTTCATCTACACTGGAGAAAAGTTCAAATGCTTTGAAGAAATAGTAAGATGGCTTCTTATTTAATCTACAGAATGGGGAGAAACATAGTGATAGTCAGGATATACGTGAGACAAATGAATATAGTTAAAAACACGCAATCCCTTTATGATAATCTTATCTTATCATTTCATAAAGAGTGGAGTTATTTTGTTACACTGAAATAACTGAAATCTGACTTTAATTAAATGTATCATGTCAACAGATTTTACGTAACTGTATAAGGTTAGATGTAAGCAATGATATTAAGTATTAAATAATTAGGTTCAACTTATTAGTATTGCTTTCCGCTAACCTAATACAGCTATGTGACATTTGTTGACATAATGCACTTAATTAAAGTCAGCGGTTCAGTTTTTTCAATGTATTTTAATCTGCTGTGAACTATGATCATGAGGATTTTCTATATATTAATTTGGGTCATTAAAAGGTGGAGCATAGAGTGCTCTGTCTGGCATTCGGACACATTTAGAAGTGGACATCTAAGGCACCTTGGCAGAGTGTGAGAGAGCAGTGAGAAGTGAAGGGAGAGAGGGAGAGAGAGAGCCTGTAAATCACACTCTGATCGCCTGGAACGTGTTAACGTCACTGCGAGAAATTTGCTTATGAAAGGTGGAAAACTGCCCGACGGGTGGCCGAGCTATCGTTGTTTCTGCGATGCTTTGTAGGCATGTGATAAAATGGTGGCGTAGTGTTTCATTTACACCTATGGTTCTCTCCTGTCTGATAGATTTGGATATCGAAGCCTCTTACAAATGTTGATAAAAAAAGGTTTGAGATGTTCTTTCCCGCAGCTCTGGTTATTTCTAGGTGTCTGGTAGATTTGAGGACGTATTGGCAGTGGTGAAAGAAGTCATATGTTAGTCTACTTAAGTAAAAGTGGCAATAACACAGTGTGGAAAGCTCTAAAAGTCAATACTACTGCCACTTTCAGAATATTATATTGTATGTTATTGGATTATAATTGTGTATGCCTTAATATGTACACATCACTAATGCAGCTGGTAAATCTGTGGCTATCTTGTTATACTTTCAGATAGCTCATTTCCAAAAATAATACATCATAGTTATTTTTATAAATCTGAAATATTCTTATTTAATTTACAGCAAAAGTCACATAGCAGATACAAGTCTAACAATACAACAAGAGTAAGCTTACATATTAAATATATACACAAATGAGCAAATATTATTATTATTATATTCAATTGTAAAATATAGGCAGTGATGCAAAAAGTACAGTATTGACTTACAAGTGGAATAAAAGAGACATTTAATGGATACTTAAGTGCAGTGCTCCAGTCAAAGTTCATTTCCAAAAGTGCTAAGTTAATTGGTTAGCTTCCAAAGACACCAGTCTCAATATGTTCAACCTGACGTGACTGTAAATGTTTCACTGGGATCGTAGGGAAGTAAAGTGAGCTGTAATTCAGGCTGTAAGTTAGACGGGCTATTCATGGAGCAGTATGCTCTGCGTGGGAATGCTGTCCCTCACTGTGGTCTCAGGGTTAGGTTGCTTCAATGAGAACGCTAGTTTCTCATTAGGTTTGTATACCCAAAATTAAAGACAAACAAGTCACATCCAGCCATGCAAAATGTTTGAATTAAACCCCAGATTTGAGGATTTCTGACTCCAATATGGGGGAATGGGTTTCATGTGTGGTGCTAAGATTGTCATTTGAAATATCTATCTCTTCATTAGCCTGATCATAACTCTGGATAATCCACGGGAACATCAGTTTAGTTAGGGACTACTTTTCTGAAAGACAGTAGTCCCTAACAAAGCTGTGGATTAACACAGGCTTTGTTTCCAGAAATGAAAGTGGTTGTTTTGAAATGCCATTGTTCAATGCTGTTAGCAACACACATGCAAACTTGTTCACTTTCACTCTATTGGAGTAAAGGCAGAAAACGTAAAGACTTACTTAAGTATTACTAGGGATGATTAGACAATGATTTTGGGTGAACTAATCCTTTAAACTCAGAGATGATAACGCTGTCTAAAGACGTTTGTGTGCATCTGATGAAATGTTCGATGCAATAAATAAAACCTAAGAATAGAATGCCTTTTATATGCTTATAGCCTCGGTCAGATTTAGAGCAGTCAGTCACACATAACAGAGGATATTAATCAGTCCTTTGTATAAAACAGACTTAATTACACCAGTCATAATTACAGTACATTACACCTCTGTGGATCGTACTTACAGTGACTCTATTTGAGTGGGTAATGAATCAGTTCATTACGCATCGGGACAAAGCTCCCCGACGACAACGCGGAGGCTTTTATGCAAGTTGATGGGCTTTCTGAGGGCGGTTTGACAGAATAGCCTCTAATGGGATGGAGAGTGATTTCCTGGGACTTGTCAGGCTTGACGTGTTCATGGCAGTAGTTGATGAGCACCAGAGCTGTGGAAAAATCACCCTCAATCCAAATAGAGAATACTTTGCTGTTTCTCCCATAACTTGTTCTGTCAGTTTTGAAAACCCAGAGTGTGTCCTATATTTGTAGTATGTTGAGCAGACTACCACAACGACTGTCTCTGAGGGTGCTCAGATGTTACAGGTAAAGCACCTCCTCCCAAAAGGACTCATAGAGGAAACCCCTCCTTTGTCTTGACAACGTCAGCTTCCTTGTCTGCATGTCTGTGGATAATCTGTTGTCTGGTTATTTCATTAAAAGCCTCGTCTCCTTCATCAGGGCAGGTTTTAATGTTTAATCTACGTCAATTAAAACCCTGATGACTACGTTTTCAGTCATTTACAAATCAAGTTTTCTTTGCCAACTTAAAGTGATTTAGTTTCCTGAAGCCTTTGTTCCCTACAGATGAGATACTGTTCCCTTGTGTTCATGTTACATGTTGCCGATCCTGGTATCGCATGCAGTGCTAGATGCTTGTTGTTGATGTTTCTGTACACTGTGCGATTTACTTGTGTTGGTTTTGTTCGTTGTTTGTTATTCAGGCCATTATCCTTACTACCTACGTATCATGTACATTTAAAAATGTGTAGTGTTATAATTACTAGTTACCTGTACACAAATGTAATCAGTAATCCAATCTGAGTATCTAAAAGTAATGTATTACCTTCCGTTACTTTGGGATTAGACGGTTGAACAATTTGAGCCAAGATATTTAGGATCAAAAATGATTTTATGTACAGGAAAACCTGCCTTTCATGAAGCACATTCAGGCAGTCCTGATCCTTTTAGAACTAACACTATATGCACTTTCTTAGTTGTGTTATCCTGCTAGTAATCCACAGTTTTTAGAAACGTTTCGTAGTCAGACGATGTAACTGTAAGGGAATACAGTTGCCTTTTTTGTCTGCTTGTAATCCGTTACTTCCCAAGCCTGTATGTAGAATATTTCACAGATTCATAAATGAAGGTGGGTTCATAGAGTAATAGGTATACTGCAAACAAAGAAATATTACGTTTCCTTTCAGTCTTGATCAGATCATTATTGAATCCAAACATTTGGAAAATACCTGATTTGTTTTGTCAAAATGTCCTGTTTCCGTCTGTGATGATCGCTCTGTCCTTTCACTTCCTGTAGTCAGGGAGCCCTTTTGTCAGTCGGGTAGTTAATCGTGTTTTCCTCTGTTCTCGTCCAGTCTGGCTTGGAAGTCAGGAAGGTCAGGAAGAAGGTCAAGGTGGACACTTCCAAGTTCATGACTCCATACCTGGCTCACAGCCAGAAGATGCTGGATCAGTACAGTCACGTAAGCAACACATTTGGATAAAAAATAATGACTTACCTCCTTTTTTTGTCTGCCAGTTAAAGGTCACCTATTATGCAAAATCCTCTTCTTCATGTCTCTTCTACATCACCATGTGTCCCCTCTTCTTCATGTCTCTTCTACATCAACATGTGTCCCCTCTTCTTCATGTCTCTTCTACATCACCATGTGTCCCCTCTTCTTCATGTCTCTTCTACATCACCATGTGTCCCCTCTTCTTCATGTCTCTTCTACATCAACATGTGTCCCCTCTTCTTCATGTCTCTTCTACATCAACATGTGTCCCCTCTTCTTCATGTCTCTTCTACATCAACATGTGTCCCCTCTTCTTCATGTCTCTTCTACATCACCATGTGTCCCCTCTTCTTCATGTCTCTTCTACATCAACATGTGTCCCCTCTTCTTCATGTCTCTTCTACATCAACATGTGTCCCCTCTTCTTCATGTCTCTTCTACATCAACATGTCTCCCCTCTTCTTCATGTCTCTTCTACATCAACATGTGTCCCCTCTTCTTCATGTCTCTTCTACATCAACATGTGTCCCCTCTTCTTCATGTCTCTTCTACATCAACATGTGTCCCCTCTTCTTCATGTCTAATCTACATCAACATGTGTCCCCTCTTCTTCATGTCTCTTCTACATCAACACGTGTCCCCTCTTCTTCATGTCTCTTCTACATCAACATGTGTCCCCTCTTCTTCATGTCTCTTCTACATCAACATGTGTCCCCTCTTCTCCATGTCTCTTCTACATCAACATGTGTCCCCTCTTCTTCATGTCTCTTCTACATCAACATGTGTCCCCTCTTCTTCATGTCTCTTCTACATCAACACGTGTCCCCTCTTCTTCATGTCTCTTCTACATCAACACGTGTCCCCTCTTCTTCATGTCTCTTCTACATCAACATGTGTCCCCTCTTCTTCATGTCTCTTCTACATCAACATGTGTCCCCTCTTCTTCATGTCTCTTCTACATCAACATGTGTCCCCTCTTCTTCATGTCTCTTCTACATCAACATGTGTCCCCTCTTCTTCATGTCTCTTCTACATCAACATGTGTCCCCTCTGTGGAAAGAGACTCTGAAAGTTTTAGGAACAAAGATTCTCTCTCTTTTTGATCCATTTCTATAAAAACCTGTCTGAAAATGAGCTGATCAGATTTTGGCCACTTTATGATGTCATAACGATATCTTGTCTTGTGTAACCGTTAGCCAATCAGCAACCAAGGTAACCCCCCTTATCACCTGAATCTCCTCCTATACCTCATTCACACCAACGGTGTTTCGGGGCCGGTTCGGAGCAGGAGCTTGAAAAGCACCGGGTTTTCCTCTTCACACCGCAGCGGAGCAGCCTCTTAGCTCCGGAATCCGGTTCGTTTCAAGCACCAAAAAATTGTCCGGCCAGAGCAAAAGCACCGCATATGTCACGCTGACGTCGAGGCGGGGGCAGGGGCCGGATCAACTCCAGAACAACAACAAAAAGCCCGCGTTTTATCCAGCTTGTACACAACGATGGAGAAACTTAACAAGCAGCAGTGGTCCACTGAAGAGACCAGCTACCTACTGGGAATCTGGTCTTCCGAAGAGGTATAGAGGAAGCTGGAGCACAATCGGCCATTGTTGTTGTTGTCGGTGTGAGCTGTGAGGGGTTTCCGCGCGGTTTGGCCTTATGAAGCAGCCACGCAAACGATGACGCAATGACGCAAACGATGACGCAATGACGCAGCACCAGTCGGACTCTGGGCGGTGTGAAAAGAGCCTCCGCTAAACCGAAGAACCGGTTCTGAACCTGAAAAGCTCTAGCACGGAGCTTGAACCGGAGTTGCGTTGGTGTGAATGAGGTACTAGAGCACGATTGAGTTCTTTGTAACCAAATCTCTCCCAGAGGGGCGTGGGGAGGGGCTCCTTATTTTCATCTAAAGTAACAGACAGAGAATCAGCACAGAGCCAAACACTTCAGAGACATGTTCTGTATATATCTGAGACCTATAACATTTTGATGAAGAACAGTATAATAGGGGAACTTTAAGTACTTCAGAATCAGACACACTACATGAGTATTGAGTTATGTCTATTGTACTAAATGCAGTGTTTGCTCTTCTTTACAGAACGTGTACAGGAAGGCTTATGAGATGTCCAAAGGCCAGCCGACCGCCTTCATCTCTGATACTCCTGAAATGATTCGCATCAGGAAGGCTCAGGAGCAGCTCAGCGAGGTAAGACCGAGGACTGTGGTGGTATTTTACCCCCAAATCATTACGTTTTAAGTAGGGATGCTCCGATCGCCAATTTCGGGGCCGATCGCCGGAATCAGTATCCGTCGATACCGATCGCCGATCCGATCGAGTGGGCGGGGCCTAAATGGAAGATTTAAACATCACTTTAAATCTTCCATTTAAAAGTGATGTTTAAACTCAGTTAATGGGGCTCATTCACTGGAGCTTCCACAAACAACAATCAACTTAATTATTACATTCAAATGATGTACATTATTCAAGTTTACATTCACTTTGGATAATAACACGGGAGAAATGAGCGGAAGCGCTCTCTTTTCCTCTCTCCATCTCCTGACAGCCTGTCAGTATCTCATGCAGCTCACTGATCCAGTAATGAGTGACCCGACAGTGAAGAATATATATATGTATAATAACTAGTTTAGCTTGTTCCAGAGGTAGATAAAATAGCTAAGTGTGTTAGGTCTAACTCTTGTGTGTTTCGCTCCGCTCACCGGTCCGGCGAGCGGAGCTGCAGGATTTCTGCTTCACACACGTTGCATTCCGCTATTTTACTGTCTTTTTCGGACACCTTAAAATAATGCCAGACCGGTGAAGCCATTTTGGCGAGCTTGTTTTGCCGCACACAGAGAAAAGTGTCATGTATTTTTTTACGTCATGCGATCGGCTCTCGCGATCGGCATGTTTAGAGAGCACCGATCGATCGGTAGAGAGTGAGTATCGGCCGATATCGATCGTTGACCGATCGATCGGGGCATCCCTAGTTTTAAGTCTAAGGTTGAGTTTTGACAGGTTATACGAATGGGAGATTTTGAATTTGTAAAATAGCTTAATTGAACCTATGATGTGGTGGACACTTGATTTGAGTTTAAATCGATGAGTGTGGGGCAGAGATGCTGACCGAACTCATTGTGATTTGCTCTTTGGCAAGGCTAGTTTAGTTATATAGCACATGTCAACATAAGGTCATTCAAAATGCTTTACAAAAAATATGCCAAAACTTTCACAACTTAAAAAAAATCCTCAAATCCCAACTTTTATTTTAATTGTATTCACTTTATTAGCATCCATTAACAAAGCGCTAAAGATACCATGTATTATTATTATAATAATAATTTATGTTGAAAGCATATAGTGCAACAGAAACACATTAAAAGTTAGGTTTAAATACATTTAAACAGTCATTTAGAGCCAAAAGACTAAAATAAAACTGAATAAATGAATAGGTATTTGGATAAATGAATGTGTTTAAAAGAACTTACTTAAATGATTCGCTCATGTCATGAATTCTAACAAATTACACTTTTCTCCCTCAGGTTAAATACCGCATGGAGGGTAATAAGACTCGGACAACCAGCATGTACGGTGGCGAGGCCAGAGAGATCGCCCACGTCAAGCACGTGTCCGAGCTGATCAGCAAGGTGAGCTACCTGAACCTATATAACAACAATATATAGGACAATAAACCAGTATTTACAACACGGTTTTACGTATCTTTTGCAGGTTCTGTACAGACAGAAGTGGGATGAGACTAAGGACCGGTACCTGCTGCCGCCTGACGCTCCTGAGCTGGTGCTGGCTGTGAAGAACGCTGCTAACTACAGCAAGGTGAGCACGATGTACTGTCCAAATAATGCTTTAAAGGTCACCTATTGTGCAAAATCCACTTCTTCATGTCTCTTCTACATCAACATGTGTCCCCTCTTCTTCATGTCTCTTCTACATCAACATGTGTCCCCTCTTCTTCATGTCTCTTCTACATCAACATGTGTCCCCTCTTCTTCATGTCTCTTCTACATCAACATGTGTCTCCTCTGTGGAAAGAGACTCTAAGTTTCAGGAACAAAGATTCTCTCTCTTTTTGATCCATTTCTATAAAAACCTGTCTGAAAATGAGCTGATCAGATTTTGGCCACTTTATGATGTCATAACGATGTTTTGGCTTGAGTAACCATTAGCCAATCAGCAGCCAAGGTAACCCCCCCCCCCCCCCTTATCACCTGAATCTCCTCTAGAGCACCATTGAGTTCTTTGTAACCAAATGTCTCTCAGAGGGGCGTGGGGAGGGGCTCCTTATTTTCATCTAAAGTAACAGACAGAGAATCAGCACTTTGGAAACAGGGCTGAAACAGAGGGGATTATGGGTAATGCTGCAATGATCTGTTTGGTGTTTCAGCGAATCAGAGACATGTTTTATGATAGGGGATCTTTAAATGTATGATTTATTATAAAGAAAGTCTATTTTTTGTTCTGTATGCATGTGGTAATTCTTGCCCTGCCCCTTGTTCAGAAACGGTACACGGAGGACTGGGATGCGGAGAAGACGATGTGTTTCCCGTACAGCGACAGCCCCGAGCTGCGCAGGGTGGCCAAGGCTCAGGAAGTCCTCAGCGACGTGAGTTACATTTACACCAAACTGGAGGAAATTAAAATACAATTTTTTTTAGAAAACAGTTTTAGAGCTGTGTATCGTTTTAATACTTCCAGGGGGATTTTTGTTTGTATATTACTCTATATTATATTTAATTAAATGATATTTCAATAAATGACATTATATTATGAAAATACAGTACACACTGTCCAATATTAAGACCTGTGTTTGGTTTTTCTTTATTGCAGGGTGAAAAATATGACTTTATTACTCTATTATAACATATATTATTATATATTGCATAACATTACATGACATTATATCATATTGCATTATATTGTATTACATTATATTATATTACATTATTTTATATTTTATGACATTTTGTTTATTAATCTTCTAACTTAAACAAAAAAATCTCAGATAAATATACAAAACACAATATTTATATATTTTTTTATATAAAAAAATGATTGCATATATACTCATATAAGATATTATATATATATATCTCCTTAGATTTGTTTGAAACAATGTGGAATATCTAATACATGGGTTATTCTGTAAGAATTAGGAAAGCTGTGACAAATTCACCTGAGAAGTTCATTTCTACACTGAACAAAAATATAAATGCAACACTTTTGTTTTTGCTCCCATTTTTCATGAGATGAACTCAAAGATCTAAAACATGTTCTATATACACAAAATAACCATTTCTCTCAAATATTGTTCACAAACCTGAAAGAATCTGTGATAGTGAGCACTTCTCCTTTGCCGAGATAATCCATCCCACCTCACAGGTGTGGCATATCAAGATGCTGATTAGACAGCATGATTATTGCACAGATGTGCCTTAGGCTGGCCACAATAAAAGGCCACTCTGAAACGTGCAGTTTTGCTTTATTGGGGGGGTCTGGGGGGGTCCGAAAACCAGTCAGTATCTGATGTGAGGGGTAGGGTTAGGGTAGGGGTACTCAAATACAAATCTTAAAGGTCCAAAATAAATGTTTCAATAAGACAAAGGTCCGTTTATTACGGTCATTCAAACTTTTAAACAATTGCAACAAGATTCTTAACACGAGGTTGCAAAAACAAAAATAATCTGTATGCAGCAGTTTTCATTGTTGTTGTGTCTGTGCTTGACCCCTCAGAGTCGCAGTGTAAGAGCTGCACAGTTATGAATAAAGGCAGCTGCACCCTCTTTCATTCAGCATTCCCATTAGTGCTTTATAAATGTCTTGCCCCCTTGTGTGTCCACTGAGGTTCGTCAGGCCCAACACATCTTCAACAAACTCCCCCTTTGCCTCATCATAAAAACTCACAAACACCAGCAACTGAGCATTGTCAGTGGTGTCAGTGGACTCACCCACAGCTAAGGAAATGCACTGTGCATTTTTTATTCCATCACAAAGCTGATGAATCAAATCACCAGCCAGTATTTCTGTTCTTCTGGTTGCTGTGGAATCTGAGAGGGAGATTTGCTTGATTTGACCTGTTATTTCCTCTTTTTGTTTGCCTTCAACATGGTCTCCATCACTTCAGTCATGCATTCTTTTATACTGCAGTTATTATCCAGTGGAAAGCCCTTACCTACTGGCCTAGTTCAATCAAAGTGGTTACTTTTTTTTGTCTGGGCAGTGAAGTTTTACACACCGTCTGATTTGACTTTCTCAGGACTTAAAACAGTTTTTTGGGGGCAGACCCCCTCAAAGAAAACAATATATTTACACACGTAAGGTCATCATCTTAATAGTTGTGTATGCTCATCCGTGAGCAGAGCATCAAGTTGACATGTCTATTACAGCTGAATGGGCGATTACCATCTTGTTCAGCAAAACGCCTCACAAACGTATTAAGATCAACAGCTTTAGTGCGTTTTGATTCAATGCTGAGTACAGCCAAACTGACAGTCTCTTCTCTGTCAGACCGCAAATACCTCATTCCTTCAGTGCTTGGGTCCGAATGCTTCTCGTTTTGCACCGTCCCGTTCAAAATGAAATCGCCGCCAATCATATGTCCACGCTCGCGCCAGGACCGGGGGAGGGGTTACATGACGTGCATCTTGTGCTGCATTCACTTGACTGAGACTTTCTCTCATAAATGTCCGATGAGCCACAACTTTTCTTTCAAAACAAAGCTGCCAACTGGGGTGGCAGCTGGGGTGGTAAGGCCTATTTTTAGGGTGTCAGTTGCCACCCCGGTAGGTGAAACTAGGCTAATAGCTACAGTACAGATGGAACTAGATGAGCTGTTAACTCTCGCTCTGAATTTTTTTTTTTTTAAACTCTCGCTCTGACTCAAACAGGTTGAAAGAGACACACACATTTTTCCCACCCGCATTCCGCGAAGACCCGCCCTACTGTGCCTCTGATTCGCAGATTGTTTGGGGGGAAAAAACGCTGACGGGATGCTGAATGTGATTGGACCAATGCGTTGACAGACACACACAGACAGACAGTGGAACAGGACATGCAGAGCGCTGTTTGCAGTCTATGGACATAGCGGATCATTTTGACTCGTTGCGTTGTGGCGATGTCTCGCAGATAATACAGATAATACAGATAATACATATGAAAAGTATAATTTGCTCAGAGTCCAGAGACAGTTGTGGTTCGGTCCGGATCCGGACCGGAGTCCGGACTTTGAGGATGCCTGGGTTAGGGTAATGTTGTGAATCGAGTGGCCTGTGTTCGTCGTCCATTACATACGCCTGCCCATACCATAACCCCACCACCACCATGGGCCACTCGATTCACAACATTACCCTAACCCTAACCCTAACACCAGATACTGACTGGTTTTCGGACCCCCCCAGACCCCCCCAATAAAGCAAAACTGCACGTTTCAGAGTGGCCTTTTATTGTGGCCAGCCTAAGGCACACCTGTGCAATAATCATGCTGTCTAATCAGCATCTTGATGCCACACCTGTGAGGTGGGATGGATTATCTCGGCAAAGGAGAAGTGCTCACTATCACAGATTCTTTCAGATTTGTGAACAATATTTGAGAGAAATGGTTATTTTGTGTATATAGAAAATGTTTTAGATCTTTGAGTTCATCTCATGAAAAATGGGAGCAAAAACTAAAGTGTTGCGTTTATATTTTTGTTCAGTGTATCTTACTGTGCTAGCAGATTGCTAATTCAGCATCAACTACAGAGGCATGCATATTTTCTCCACCATATATTGCTTTCTTCGTTTCAGGTTACATTTATTTGAACTTAGTCAGACGTAGCAGCAATTAACCCCCCCCACCTTTTGAACACAATAGCTTGTAAGCCTTTCTGCTGATGTAGGAAAGTCACCAGTCAATGATTGAAGCTGTGTGTGTGAATCAGACCGTGCTCTCAGGTCAGGTATCGATGTTGTCGAATGAACCCTTTCTGTAAATTTGAACTCCTGCTGTGTTCCCCCCCCCCCCACGCAGATCAGCTACAAGAAGGGTCACGATCAGCGCAAGGCCAAGTTCACCTCGCTGGCCGACCCTCCTGAGTATGAGCTGGCCAGGAAGGCGGCCAATCAGCGCAGTGATGTAAGCAGAACACATTTTGATCAACCGTATTTTATAAGTGTAAAAGAAATGGGGACTCAAAGAGATATAGAAATCCCAAAGTGGACTAATGCTAATGTTCTAAACACTTCAGAAAACAACTTTAACGACAGCTGAAAACTTATTTTTTGACATTAGCTTTTATTAGCGACATTCCACTTTAATTAGTGTTTTAATCTTTATTAGTCTTATTATTTATTTAAACATTTTTATATTTTAGTGTATTTATTTTCTCTTATGGCTTCCTTTGTTTCACTGAGAGGGTTATACGTATGTCATGAACCTTTGGATCATTATTTTTTATGTCCCTCCTTGTGTCCCTTGAATTGTTATATTATGTTTAAATGCTCAATGTCTGCAAACAGGTTTTGATGTGAATTATTCTTTTTAAAATAATAATTTCCTCCAATATCTTTTATCATATCGCAATTGTAATTTCAGTCCAAAAAAAATCACAATTTGTGTTTCTTTTTCCAAATTGTGCAGCTTTAGAGGTAGAAAAAGTGATAATTAACAATATAAATACCTGCAGAAAGCTCTATTACTATTTATAACAGCACATAGGAGAGTGATAAGCCTCATTGCTTCTCAGGAACATTTGATAGGCTCAAACTCAAATGGAAACAGTGCCCTCGGAGACCAACAAACACTGAGTCACTGCTAGGGATAACAGACCACCTGCTCTCTCATATTACCGAACACACTAAGCTTGAAGGGAGAAGCCAACAATAGTTTCAAATTCCAGTCGCTCCCAATCGGTTTTATCACACAGAAAATAGATCTGTCTAATATGTTACTGCATATCTTCTTCACAACAAGTGCTCTCCTGTGTAAAATACATCCTCTAATGATGATTATTTGTACTCCACAGCTCAAATACAAGGAGGATTACAATAAAAATGTCAAGGGTCAGTGGTGCGAGACGCCATACTTTGACGTGGCCACTGCCAGGGTGGCGATGGAGAACTTAAGCAGCGTAAGTGCTTATTTCAACCTAAGGGGCAGACATTTATTATAATTATATTAGTTTTTCATTTGTCTACATCTCACTGTTGTTATTTTGTCCTTCCAGAAACGATACACGAAAGATTGGGAGGATAAGAAAGACCAAATTTATTTCATGCAAACAGACACGCCTGTTTATGGAACGAACAAGAAGGCTGGTATTGCTTCTAGTGAGGTAAGTGTTTTTATAGGACTTATCTCATATTGAATAAACGTCAGGATTATCAAGAGTCAGAGCAGAGTGAATTGTGCCCACACATGAACTGTATGACTGAGAGATTTACGTTTGAATCAATGTCACTGAATTAATTGAGTGTGTAGTTCAGTACCAGATGTGAAGAGGCTTATTCAGCTCCTGTATCCCACACACTCACACAATGCAAACATGCGTCACTTTAACAGACAATAAAGACACATTTGGCGTTCCCTACCAACGTATGAGTCAGCGTGAATACACCTCATGGACAACCTTCATTTTCCTCTTACTCACTCTACTCTTCGTGTTTCTGTTTTCAGATCAAGTACAAGAAGGAATACGAGAAGCAGAAAGCTCAGGCGGACTACAACACGCTCCCCGCCACAGAGAACCCGCTCCTAAGACAGCTCAGATATGCCGGCACCATCCTGAGTGATGTAGGTGTCTGGAGATATGGGTGTTAGATCACAGCTGGTCTTAGGAAAAATTATAAATGATACTTAAGATAGATTCAAGATTCAAGGCTTTTATTGTCGTTCGTACACAGCTACAGTGGAGTTATGTCGATGAAAATCTTAGGTCACAGGCTCCTCCAACAGTGCAACACAATACAACTGATAAAATAGTGCAAGTAAATACAATAAAATAGGATAGAAGCAGTGCCATAAGAGTCTACAAGTAATAAGGGGGGGGAAAGGACAGAATCTATAAGGTAGAACAGTATTTAGTATTAATGGTTTCAATGTCTAAGGTCCCCATTAGCATTAGCTATTCTTCCTGGCGTCCACAAAGGGTGTTCATGTTTTTTATTCCTTATTAAGATCCCCATTAGCATTAGCGTTAGCATTAGCTATTCTTCCTAGGGTCCACAAATTGCGCCCATGTTTTTGATTCCTTATTAAGATCTCCATTAGCATTAGCTATTCTTCCTAGGGTCCACAAATGGCGCCCATGTTTTTTCTTCCATATAGGAATCTCCATTAGCATTAGCATTAGCTATTCTTCCTGGCGTCCACAAATGGCGTCCATGTTTTTTCTTCCATATAGGAATCCCCATTAGGCATTAGCATTAGCTATTCTTCCTAGGGTCCACAAATTGCGTCCATATTTTTTATTCCTTATTAAGATCTCCATTAGCATTAGCATTAGCTATTCTTCCTAGGGTCCACAAATGGCGTCCATGTTTGTTCTTCCATATAGGAATCCCCATTAGCATTAGCTATTCTTCCTGGCGTCCACAAATGGCGTCCATGTTTTTTCTTCCATATAGGAATCCCCATTAGCATTAGCTATTCTTCCTAGGGTCCACAAATTGCATCCATGTTTTTTATTCCTTATTAAGATCCCCATTAGCATTAGCTATTCTTCCTAGGGACCACAAATGGCGTCCATGTTTTGTATTCCTTATTAAGATCCCCATTAGCATTAGCATTAGCTATTCTTCCTAGGGACCACAAATGGCGTCCATGTTTTTTCTTCCATATAGGAATCCCCATTAGCATTAGCATTAGCTATTCTTCCTAGGGACCACAAATGGCGTCCATGTTTTTTCTTCCATATAGGAATCCCCATTAGCATTAGCATTAGCTATTCTTTCTAGGGACCACAAATGGCGTCCATGTTTTTTCTTCCATATAGGAATCCCCATTAGCATTACATTTAGGAATAGCTATTCTTCCTGGAGTCCATACAGTAAATGGGGTCAATGTATTGTATTCCTTATTAAAATCACCATTAGCATTAGCAGAAGCGTTAGCAAATGTTTCCTGGAGTCCACAAATGTACAGTCAAACACACCTTTACTAATTGTAACCACTCAAAGAAAAAAAACAGACTAATTGAATTACAATGAAGTACCAACCAGATCAGAAATTGACATCCTTTTAAGTCACACTCAAATTAAAACCCAAATATTAATGGATAACAACATCTCAAGAATTCATAGCAAACTTCATGTTTTGCTTTTTTATACATATTCATTCTCTCCCAAGGATAATTTCGACTTTACATATAATTACACATTTCAATTGTTGTTCCTGAACTTTTTTGAGGTATTGTTTCAACAAAATCTCTGTTCTCTGTTTAGACAAAGATGTAGCTTGCATGAATTTGGCAATAACTCTGAAAGGTGACTGCTGAAACGATTGAGAAGGTTGAAGAGTGTCTGACATGAAGCTCCTCTGAGTTAATTGTCATATTAGAAGTGCTAATTAAACCATCTGGAAGTCACTTGCAATACTTTTTTGCCTTCAGGGAGTTTATTGATCTAATTGAATAACGTTACCAGTCTTACTGACGTGTTCTTTGCAGTTAGTTAGTGAGTCATACGGACAGATGATATGTTAAGTTGTTCCTGTTTGTTTTCTTTTTCAAGCTACTGATCATAATTGATTTGCCATTTCTCTAGTTCATGATCTGTTTCATATCTTCCTTGCAGAAAGTATATAAGTCCAGCTATGAAAAGGCCAGGGGTTCAAGTATCAACTACTGCGACACGCCCAAGTTTCAGATGGACTCCGTACTCAAACAGTTCACTCATGTAAGAATAAAATACTTTCATAAACCAAGGATATTATCACTTGTCTTTGCTTTGAATCATATACATGTTTTATGTTGTTCTGTAGGCACGTTACACAGAGAAGTATGACAACGTGGTGAAGGGTCACTACGTCGGCAGCTATGAGGATCTTTACATGCTTCACTGCCAGAAAATGGAGGCAATGAAGAGCGAGGTAAGTCGTTGTGCATTTTTCTAAAATCGAATCAGTGATGCAAGATTTTATTATATACTTTTCAGTGCAATTTACCCACTTTTTCTTCTCTTGCAGCAAGAATATAAATCTGATTATGAAGACATTAAGACAAAATGCTTCTACCCTCAAACAATGACGCCTGAATATGAAGTTAATAAGAAGCTTCAGAAGTGTAATGATGTGAGTAGTAGGCTCCACTAAAATGCAGTAAAATAGCTCTTATGTTGGTAAATATATATAACTTACACCATTTTTCTTCCTTGTGGTTTGCAGAAAGTTTACCGGCAACATCCGGACACCATGAAATTTACACAAGTGTCGGATTCACCAGTTCAGCTTCAAGCCGCCCTCAACGCCAAAAATCTAAGTGACGTACGTATGAATGCACACAAAGCCGATTAAAAAATATATACAGGTTTAAATTAGCACAAAAAAGAGGCACCGGTTGCCCAAAAAACATAGTTTTCTTTAAATAAAACATTGAAATGGTGTCTGATCAGCCCATAAAGTGATTGATGTTAAGTCACTTATCAATATTGCTCACTGTTTCTACATAAACGATATATAAATCTATATATTGACTCAATTGCTAGATAATTGGCTAGATCATATTCTCCTTCACATGCAGATCAGCCTTAAATGTGCCCGATCATCCACGTAGTCTTTCTGTGGGCACCATGGTAACTGGAGAGCCATTTCTCTGAAGTAAAAATAGCAACAAGCATTCAGTTAGCCCAGAATAAACCCTGTGATCACAGAGGGAGGCAGGGGAGCAGAGAAAGGGACAGTCAATATGTCTCGGATTGTTTCCAGCGAACACTGCTGCCCTCTAGTGACGGAAAATCAAAATGACATGAACGTGTGTCTTGGAAATTACTGTACAGCTGCACACATATATAAAAATAACTTGACACCTTGTTCTTTTTGCAGATCAACTACAAGGCCAAGTATGAGAAAACTAAGTTCAAAAACACTCTGCCCCCAGACTATCCCTTCTTCATCCAGTCCAGAGTCAACGCCTTCAACCTTAGTGATGTAAGTAACTGCTCTGCACTTCATTTCTTCATTTAATTTTGGCATGTGTTTTCCATTTCCCTAACGGCATGATTCTCTGTTTGCAGAACTGTTACAAGTACGATTGGGAGAAATCTAAAGCAAAGAAGTTTGAGATCAGGGGCGATGCCATCTCGATCCTTGCTGCCCGCGCTCACACCAACATCGCCAGTGATGTAAGTATTTCACAACATTAGAGAGGCATTATTTAGCTTTTGGGTTTTTTTTCTTCCTGTAGTGTGGTCTATATATATTTTTCATGTAAATGGTCTGCAAAGGCAAATATATCAACGTATATTGGTATTTGTATTGGAGTTTCTCTCCCACACACTCACCCCCTGCTTAAAACGCCTCCATTGGACTCCTTTGTTTACTTCCGTAACATTATGACATTACGATGTTACTGCTATTGGCTAGCGCTCCGACACATTGTACGTGATAGGCTAAGGGGCGGGACATCTCTAAGCGGTTGACCAATCACAACAGAGCCGGCCAGCTAACCAATCAGAGCAGACGGGGCTCTGGTTTCAGACAGAGGGTGAAAAGAGGTGCTGCAGCAGTATGAGAAAAATAAAGAGCTTTTTGAACATTGAAGCATGGAGACATGAGTAGAGACACTACATACTGATATACACCTGAACATCAGCAGGAGAGGACTCTTTAAAGTAGAGACACTACATACTGATATACACCTGAACATCAGCAGGAGAGGACTCTTTAAAGTAGAGACACTACATACTGATATACACCTGAACATCAGCAGGAGGACTCTTTAAAGTAGAGACACTACATACTGATATACACCTGAACATCAGCAGCAGAGGACTCTTTAAAGTAGAGACACTACATACTGATATACACCTGAACATCAGCAGGAGAGGACTCTTTAAAGTAGAGACACTACATACTGATATACACCTGAACATCAGCAGGAGGACTCTTTAAAGTAGAGACACTACATACTGATATACACCTGAACATCAGCAGCAGAGGACTCTTTAAAGTAGAGACACTACATACTGATATACACCTGAACATCAGCAGGAGAGGACTCTTTAAAGTAGAGACACTACATACTGATATACACCTGAACATCAGCAGGAGAGGACTCTTTAAAGTAGAGACACTACATACTGATATACACCTGAACATCAGCAGGAGAGAACTCTTTAAAGTAGAGACACTACATACTGATATACACCTGAACATCAGCAGGAGAGGACTCTTTAAAGTAGAGACACTACATACTGATATACACCTGAACATCAGCAGGAGAGGACTCTTTAAAGTAGAGACACTACATACTGATATACACCTGAACAACAGCAGGAAAGGACTCTTTAAAGTAGATACACTACATACTGATATACACCTGAACAACAGCAGGAGAGGACTCTTTAAAGTAGAGACACTACATACTGATATACACCTGAACAACAGCAGGAGAGGACTCTTTAAAGTAGAGACACTCCATACTGATATACACCTGAACATCAGCAGGAGAGGACTCTTTAAAGTAGAGACACTACATACTGATATACACCTGGACATCAGCAGGAGAGGACTCTTTAAAGTAGAGACACTACATACTGATATACACCTGGACATCAGCAGGAGAGGACTCTTTAAAGTAGAGACACTACATACTGATATACACCTGAACATCAGCAGGAGAGGACTCTTTAAAGTAGAGACGCTACATACTGATATACACCTGAACATCAGCAGGAGAGGACTCTTTAAAGTAGAGACACTACATACTGATATACACCTGAACATCAGCAGGAGAGGACTCTTTAAAGTAGAGACACTACACACTGATATACACCTGAACATCAGCAGGAGAGGACTCTTTAAAGTAGAGACACTACATACTGATATACACCTGAACATCAGCAGGAGAGGACTCTTTAAAGTAGAGACACTACATACTGATATACACCTGAACGTCAGTAGGAGAGGACTCTTTAAAGTAGAGACACTACATACTGATATACACCTGAACATCAGCAGGAGAGGACTCTTTAAAGTAGAGACACTACATACTGATATACACCTGAACATCAGCAGGAGAGGACTCTTTAAAGTAGAGACACTACACACTGATATACACCTGAACATCAGCAGGAGAGGACTCTTTAAAGTAGAGACACTACATACTGATATACACCTGAACATCAGCAGGAGAGGACTCTTTAAAGTAGAGACACTACATACTGATATACACCTGAACATCAGCAGGAGAGGACTCTTTAAAGTAGAGACACTACATACTGATATACACCTGAACATCAGCAGGAGAGGACTCTTTAAAGTAGAGACACTACATACTGATATACACCTGAACATCAGCAGGAGAGGACTCTTTAAAGTAGAGACACTACATACTGATATACACCTGAACATCAGCAGGAGAGGACTCTTTAAAGTAGAGACACTACATACTGATATACACCTGAACAATCAGCAGGAGAGGACTCTTTAAAGTAGAGACACTACATACTGATATACACCTGAACATCAGCAGGAGAGGACTCTTTAAAGTAGAGACACTACATACTGATATACACCTGAACATCAGCAGGAGAGGACTCTTTAAAGTAGAGACACTACATACTGATATACACCTGAACATCAGCAGGAGAGGACTCTTTAAAGTAGAGACACTACATACTGATATACACCTGAACATCAGCAGGAGAGGACTCTTTAAAGTAGAGACACTACATACTGATATACACCTGAACATCAGCAGGAGAGGACTCTTTAAAGTAGAGACACTACATACTGATATACACCTGAACATCAGCAGGAGAGGACTCTTTAAAGTAGAGACACTACATACTGATATACACCTGAACAATCAGCAGGAGAGGACTCTTTAAAGTAGAGACACTACATACTGATATACACCTGAACAACAGCAGGAGAGGACTCTTTAAAGTAGAGACACTACATACTGATATACACCTGAACAACAGCAGGAGAGGACTCTTTAAAGTAGAGACACTACATACTGATATACACCTGAACATCAGCAGGAGAGGACTCTTTAAAGTAGAGACACTACATACTGATATACACCTGAACATCAGCAGGAGAGGACTCTTTAAAGTAGAGACACTACATACTGATATACACCTGAACATCAGCAGGAGAGGACTCTTTAAAGTAGAGACACTACATACTGATATACACCTGAACATCAGCAGGAGAGGACTCTTTAAAGTAGAGACACTACATACTGATATACACCTGAACATCAGCAGGAGAGGACTCTTTAAAGTAGAGACACTACATACTGATATACACCTGAACATCAGCAGGAGAGGACTCTTTAAAGTAGAGACACTACATACTGATATACACCTGAACATCAGCAGGAGAGGACTCTTTAAAGTAGAGACACTACATACTGATATACACCTGAACATCAGCAGGAGAGGACTCTTTAAAGTAGAGACACTACATACTGATATACACCTGAACATCAGCAGGAGAGGACTCTTTAAAGTAGAGACACTACATACTGATATACACCTGGACATCAGCAGGAGAGGACTCTTTAAAGTAGAGACACTACATACTGATATACAACTGAACATCAGCAGGAGAGGACTCTTTAAGGTAGAGACACTACACACTGATATACACCTGAACATCAGCAGGAGAGGACTCTTTAAAGTAGAGACACTACATACTGATATACACCTGAACATCAGCAGGAGAGGACTCTTTAAGGGAGAGACACTACATACTGATATACACCTGAACATCAGCAGGAGAGGACTCTTTAAAGTAGAGACACTACATACTGATATACACCTGAACGTCAGCAGGAGAGGACTCTTTAAAGTAGAGACACTACATACTGATATACACCTGAACGTCAGTAGGAGAAGACTCTTTAAAGTAGAGACACTACATACTGATATACACCTGAACATCAGCAGGAGAGGACTCTTTAAAGTAGAGACACTGCATACTGATATACACCTGAACATCAGCAGGGAGAGGACTCTTTAAAGTAGAGACACTACATACTGATATACACCTGAACATCAGCAGGAGAGGACTCTTTAAAGTAGAGACACTACACACTGATATACACCTGAACATCAGCAGGAGAGGACTCTTTAAAGTAGAGACACTACATACTGATATACACCTGAACATCAGCAGGAGAGGACTCTTTAAAGTAGAGACACTACATACTGATATACACCTGAACGTCAGTAGGAGAAGACTCTTTAAAGTAGAGACACTACATACTGATATACACCTGAACATCAGCAGGAGAGGACTCTTTAAAGTAGAGACACTACATACTGATATACACCTGAACATCAGCAGGAGAGGACTCTTTAAAGTAGAGACACTACATACTGATATACACCTGAACATCAGCAGGAGAGGACTCTTTAAAGTAGAGACACTACATACTGATATACACCTGAACATCAGCAGGAGAGGACTCTTTAAAGTAGAGACACTACATACTGATATACACCTGAACATCAGCAGGAGAGGACTCTTTAAAGTAGAGACACTACATACTGATATACACCTGAACATCAGCAGGAGAGGACTCTTTAAAGTAGAGACACTACATACTGATATACACCTGAACATCAGCAGGAGAGGACTCTTTAAAGTAGAGACACTACATACTGATATACACCTGAACATCAGCAGGAGAGGACTCTTTAAAGTAGAGACACTACATACTGATATACACCTGAACATCAGCAGGAGAGGACTCTTTAAAGTAGAGACACTACACACTGATATACACCTGAACATCAGCAGGGGAGGACTCTTTAAGTAGAGACACTACATACTGATATACACCTGAACATCAGCAGAAGAGGACTCTTTAAAGTAGAGACACTACACACTGATATACACCTGAACATCAGCAGGGGAGGACTCTTTAAAGTAGAGACACTACATACTGATATACACCTGAACATCAGCAGAAGAGGACTCTTTAAAGTAGAGACACTACATACTGATATACACCTGAACATCAGCAGGGGAGGACACTTTAAAGTAGAGACACTACACACTGATATACACCTGAACATCAGCAGAAGAGAACTCTTTAAAGTAGAGACACTACATACTGATATACACCTGAACATCAGCAGGGGAGGACTCTTTAAAGTAGAGACACTACACACTGATATACACCTGAACATCAGCAGGAGAGGACTCTTTAAAGTAGAGACACTACATACTGATATACACCTGAACATCAGCAGGAGAGGACTCTTTAAAGTAGAGACACTACACACTGATATACACCTGAACATCAGCAGGAGAGGACTCTTTAAAGTAGAGACACTACATACTGATATACACCTGAACATCAGCAGGAGAGGACTCTTTAAAGTAGAGACACTACACACTGATATACACCTGAACATCAGCAGGAGAGGACTCTTTAAAGTAGAGACACTACATCACTGATATACACCTGAACATCAGCAGGAGAGGACTCTTTAAAGTAGAGACACTACATACTGATATACACCTGAACATCAGCAGGAGGAGGACTCATTAAAGTAGAGACACTACATACTGATATACACCTGAACATCAGCAGGAGAGGACTCTTTAAAGTAGATACACTACTGATATACACCTGAACATCAGCAGGAGAGGACTCTTTAAAGTAGAGACACTACATACTGATATACACCTGAACATCAGCAGGAGAGGACTCTTTAAAGTAGAGACACTACATACTGATATACACCCTGAACATCAGCAGCAGAGGACTCTTTAAAGTAGAGACACTACATACTGATATACACCTGAACATCAGCAGGAGAGGACTCTTTAAAGTAGAGACACTACATACTGATATACACCTGAACATCAGCAGGAGAGGACTCTTTAAAGTAGAGACACTACATACTGATATACACCTGAACATCAGCAGGAGAGGACTCTTTAAAGTAGAGACACTACATACTGATATACACCTGAACATCAGCAGGAGAGGACTCTTTAAAGTAGAGACACTACATACTGATATACACCTGAACATCAGCAGGAGAGGACTCTTTAAAGTAGAGACACTACATACTGATATACACCTGAACATCAGCAGGAGAGGACTCTTTAAAGTAGAGACACTACACACTGATATACACCTGAACATCAGCAGGAGAGGACTCTTTAAAGTAGAGACACTACATACTGATATACACCCTGAACATCAGCAGGAGAGGACTCTTTAAAGTAGAGACACTACATACCTGATATACACCTGAACATCAGCAGGGAGGACTCTTTAAGTAGAGCCACTACACACTGATATACACCTGAACATCAGCAGGAGAGGACTCTTTAAAGTAGAGACACTACATACTGATATACACCTGAACATCAGCAGGAGAGGACTCTTTAAAGTAGAGACACTACATACTGATATACACCTGAACATCAGCAGGAGAGGACTCTTTAAAGTAGAGACATTACATACTGATATACACCTGAACATCAGCAGGAGAGGACTCTTTAAAGTAGAGACACTACATACTGATATACACCTGAACATCAGCAGGAGAGGACTCTTTAAAGTAGAGACACTACATATATCTTCTTTGACATTCATGATATTAGTATTTCTTGCTTGCTTTGTACATTTGATTGCTTTTACTGCCCAGTGTCTTCACTTGAGCAATGATAAACTTTTGTTTTTCCCCCCAGGTCAAGTATAAGAAGGCTTATGAGAAGAACAAGGGGCAGATGGTGGGAGCCCTCAGCATTCATGACGATCCCAAAATCCTGCACTCTGTTCGCGTGGCTAAAATCCAGAGTGATGTAAGTCATTATCTTTCTAAGTTACTTACATTTCCCTTCACATTCATTTATTAGATCTGAGTAACAAGCGCAATGTTTTACTGATATCTCCACAGCGTGAATATAAGAAGGAATATGAAAAGATCAAGACCAAGTACCACTCACCACTCGACATGATGTCAGTCACCTTGGCCAAGAAATCCCAGGGCATTGCCAGCATGAAGGGCTATAGGAGCATCAACCCCAACTACTTCCTGCCCCCCGACAGCATACTTATGAACCTGGCCAAGAAATCCAACATCATCCAGAGCGATGTAAGTACAGACTTTACACCGTCCTATTAATGACGCTTAGCTTAAAGGTCACCTATTATGCAAAATTCACTTCTTCATGTCTCTTCTACATCAACATGTGTCCCCTCTTCTTCATGTCTCTTCTACATCAACATGTGTCCCCTCTTCTTCATGTCTCTTCTACATCAGCATGTGTCCCCTCTTCTTCATGTCTCTTCTTCATCAACATGTGTCCCCTCTGTGGAAAGAGACTCCGAAAGTTTTAGGAACAAAGATTCTCTCTCTTTTTGTCCTGATCCATTTCTATAAAAACCTGTCTGAAAATGAGCTGATCAGCTTTTGGCCACTTTATGATGCTTGTTCAAGGTTCAAGGTTCTTTATTGTCAAACTAACATAGCTACAGAGTAATTATGTCATTGAAAATCTTAGGTCACAGGCTTCTCCAACAATGCAACACAATAATACAGACAAGCAGACAATATTAAAGCAATATTAAAGTATATTATATTAAAAGTAATACAAAAGAAAAATAGTTCTAAAAAAAGTGAGAAGTGGAATAGTGCAATACCAGTCTATATACAAGTGTAACCATTAGCCAATCAGCAACCAAGGTACCCCCCCCCCCCCCCCCCCTTATCACCTGAATCTCCTCCTAGAGCACCATTTAGTTCTTTGTAACCAAATCTCTCTCAGAGGGGCGTGGGGAGGGGCTCCTTATTTTCATCTAAAGTAACAGACAGAGAATCAGCACTTTGGAAACAGGGCTGAAACAGAGGGGATTATGGGTAATGCTGCAATGGTCTGTTTGGTGTTCTGTATATATCTGAGACCTGTAATATATTGATGAAAGCCATATAGTATAATAGGAGACCTTTAATGGTTATATCTAAATATAAACGGTCCTCTTGCATGGTTATTATGAGATCACTTGTGTATTCATTGACGCCATTTTTTTTCCTGCATCACAGAATGATTACAAGTCGGAATACAACAACTACACCAAGGGTTCTCCATGGATCCCCTGGGGCTCTGTGGAAGTGGAGACAAATAAGAAAGCTGGTGATATCCTTAGTGAGGTACGAGCCCAACAGTTCTTTCCCCATCTTCACAAATGCGTTCTTGTAAAAGGAAATATGTGTCCGTAGGTGGGATATGTCTAATATGTTTTGTAATGACTTCTCACTAGCGTAATTGACTTTTTTCCTACAGAGAAAGTACAGACAGCTTCCGGACAGCATCCCCTTTACCTCTATTCACGACCACCCCGTCATGATGCAGGCCAAAGCGAACCAGCTTATGAGGAGTGATGTGAGTCTACTGTCTTTCTCTTAGTTAACCACAAATCTTAACCTTAAGACTGTCAAGTTTCATTTACAGTAAGTACAGCACATGTAATGCCTGCCCTTTTTTTGCTTTCTTGCCTTACAGCAGTTCTACAAGAGAGGTCTGGAGAAGATCCATCAGAAGTACTCTCTGCCTCATGATGTCCCTGAGTTCGTGCAGGCCAAGTGCAATGCCTACAACATCAGCAAGGTAACACATTGAAATACAGAGGGATTACTTGTTTTATTTATATACTAAGATGTTCTAATAGTGCATTTTTTTCGTTGTCATTTTGGATATCTTGCTCCTAAATGTGATTTGCTTTGGACGCACTGACATATACGTTAAGTGTGCTAACTGTATTACTCTTTATTGTTCTTGTTTATATCTGTTATCTCTCATTTCAGAACACCTACAAGTATGCCTGGGAGGATCTGATTGCTAAAGGTTATGACCTGAAGTCCGATGCGATCTCTATTATCGCCGCCAAAAAAGCCAGACATGCTGTCAGTGATGTAAGTTTATTTCCTCCATGTTTGCTCTGTACCAGGTGAATTGTACATCTTGCTGCTACATACAACTGTAAAAAAACGTTGAAAGCTGAATAATCAAGATCCTATATGCCCGTTTTTACATCTAGGTCCAGTATAAGAAGGCTTACGAGAAGGCCAGAGGACACCATATTGGTTTCCGCAGCGTCAAGGACGATCCTCTGATGGTCCACTACATGCAGTTGGCCAAATTGCAGAGTGACAAGAACTACAAGAAGGACTACCACAAGGCCAAGCTGAAGTATCACTCCCCAGTGGACATGATGAGTTTGGTGCAGGCCAAACATGCTTCGAAGGTTCAGACCTTCGCCGGCTACAGGAAGATCCCTAACGGCTACATGATCCTTCCGGACAACTTGAACGTGCAGCGGTGTCGCAACATGATGGAGATTCAGAGTGATGTATGTTCTCACTTTTTACCCAAACAATAGCCTCGTAGCTTCAGTGTAGTTATGGCAGTGAACATCTGAAGTCCCAGGCTCCTTCAACAATGCAAGACATACAACAATAAAACTAATCTATGAAAAAGTGCAAGAAGAAACAGAGTACAATCAATAGTGCAAGATTATCTAAACTATATACATGTCAAAAAACTATTAAGTGAAATTGGACAATGGCATATGTTTTGTTTCTCTATTCTTAATTCAAGTGAAAAGTAAGCAATGGACTAATTATAAAGGTTTGGTTAAAGTAAAAAAACGTTTACTTATCCACTTCATTGCCCAATTTAAAACATTTAACAGAATAAAGGGATCAAATGTTATCAGTTACATTACTTTGAAGTATGTGAAATAGTGATATATAACTTTGAAAGTAACCTTTCCAACATGTAATAGCAATCCATAAGGATAAATAGTTAGTCTCCTGGCTAAAAGTTGGTATTTCTCAAGTCGGATATTTTTCATTATTCCCATGTCTTATTACTTTCCAGATTAACTATAAAATGGACTATGAGACTTCAGTGAAGGGAAGCGGCTGGATTCCCATTGGTTCTGTGGACGTGGAAAGAGCTAAGGTGGCGGGAGCAGCGATCAATGAGTCAAAGTACCGCCAGAACCCGGACACCTTGAAGTTCTCCAGTCTCAGCGACTCCATGAACATGATGCTGGCCAAGTCCAACACCAAGATCATGAACATGGTGAGAAGGAGCAAAAACAATAACTTCTTGTCTTGCTATAAAGTAAATCACATGGTTTCCGTCTTTCGATTCCCTTTAATAACAGACACACCGATGTCTTTGTTGTCTTTTTGCAGAAAGAGTATAAGGCCAGTGGAGAGAAGTTTGTGCACACTTACCATCTCCCTGCTGACGTCCCTGAACTGATGCAAGCCAGATACAACGCAGTCAACATCAGCAAGGTGAGTCGCACATTCTTATTTTGTATTTTCCAGCATTTATGCATGTGTAGAATATGTCTAGAAATGACTTTTCTATCCTGTGATATAACACTTCATTCATTTGATTTAGAATTACTACACCTATGCTCACCGCCAAGATCTGCTCAAAGGACATCACGTGAAGCAAGATGCCATTTCCATTATTGCAGCAAAACAGTCCACTAAAATCGCCAGTGATGTAAGTAGCATGCCGATAATAAAACGTTTGAATCGTTACTGAATCCGATAATGCTTTTCATACCTAACGTTCGTCTTTTTTTTTTACAGTACAAGTACAAGCTGGCTTATGAGAAGGCAAAGGGCCACCATGTTGGCTTCCGCAGCATCGAGGACGATCCCCTGCTGGTCCACTACATGAAGGTGGCTAAGATGCAGAGTGAGAAGAACTACAAGAAGGACTACCACAAGGCCAAGCTGAAGTATCACTCCCCAGTGGACATGATGAGTTTGACCCAGGCCAAACATGCTTCAAAGGTTCAGACCTTCGCCGGCTACAGGAAGATCCCTAACGGCTACTTGATGCTGCCCGACAACTTGAACGTGCAGCGGTGCCGCAACATGATGGAGATTCAGAGTGATGTATGTTCTCACTTTTTACGCATACTGTATGTAGATGTCCAAGTCTTTGAAAAACACTTAAACGCAGCATGCATCTGTGTGACGCTGGAAACAGAAAAGCAATAAGCGAATTCAAGTCAAAGTCAACTTTATTGTCCAACTTTCAGTTTGTGTGCACAGACAGAGAGATCGAAATACCGTTTCCCACAATCCCGAATACAAAAACCAATATATATAAAAATATGTATGCAAATATGTATATACCTAAAGACACATTTATACATATGCACGTTTAAAGGTGGGGTAGGTAAGTTTGAGAAACCGGCTCGAGATACACTTTTTGTTATATTCCATGGAATGCTCTTAACATCCCAATAGCAATGAATATCTGAAGTGCTTTGACAAAAAATCCATAAAAAAACTTCATCTGTGGAAGCCGTGGCGCTGTAAAAAGCACGACCAATCATCTGAGCCGGCTAAAGTAACTGGACGGCCTACCTGCCTGTCAGCCTTCCATCTGTGCAAAAACTTATCTCGTGCCCTCATTGGTCATGTGCGCGTTCGTGTGTGTTGGAGGAGGGGCTCTGTGAGGAAGTGGCAGATTTTCTCCGGTCGTGTATTTTCAAATTCTGGCGATCTCGAGCTGGTTTCTCAAACTTACATACCCTACCTTTAAGACCTCAATAAAAGCACAACAATCATTGATGACAAACACTCAAATTCTCAATCTTCTTCTCTATAAACCCACAGAATCTCTACAAGTCAGAATACAGCAACTTCACTAAAGGCACAGGTTGGATCCCTATTGGTTCTATTGATGTGGAGAAGGCCAAAGTTGCTACAGCCGCCCTGGATGAGCACCACTACCGCCAGCCCGCAAGCTCTTTCAAATTCACCAGCAAGACTGATGCCATGAACATGACTCTGGCTATGGCCAACACCAAGATCATGGATCACGTAAGAATGTCTTCTAATAATAAAGAAACCAATGCCTTCACAACTCAAATGTGTTGATTATTCATGTACCAGGTTTGACTTTTGTTCTTCCTCTCTAGTCTTCATACAAAGCTTCTGGAGAGAAGTTCATGCACACCTATAATCTGCCGGGTGACAGCCCTCAGTTCCTTCAGGCTAAATTCAACGCCCAGACCCTGAGCGTGGTAAGAGGACATCATATTCATTAAGTTAGAAAATGTTTTGTATGCCAAAGAAATAATTGTCGGAACACTTTTTTGCTTTGTTTATCCACAGAGTCACTACAAGCACAAGTGGCTGGCCGATATTGCCAAGGGATACAACATGAAGCCGGATGCCATTTCTGTCATTCACGCCAAGCATGGCAGACATATTGCCAGCAATGTATGTATATCATAAATCTACCCGACACACTTTTTTCCATTTAACTGAAAAAGTCACTAACGTCCACAAACTCCTTTTTTTCCAGATCCAATATAAGAAAGAATTTGAGAAGGCAAAGGGCCACCATGTTGGTTTCCGCAGCATCGAGGACGATCCCCTGCTGGTCCACTACATGAAGGTGGCTAAGATGCAGAGTGACAAGAACTACCAGAAGGACTACCACAAGGCCAAGCTGAAGTATCACTCCCCAGTGGACATGATGAGTTTGACCCAGGCCAAACATGCTTCAAAGGTTCAGACCTTCGCCGGCTACAGGAAGATCCCTAACGGCTACATAATCCTGCCGGACAACTTGAACGTGCAGCGGTGTCGCAAAATGAACGCCCAGTCAAGTGATGTAAGTTTGAAACCGTAAAGGGGCCTTAAAATGCCATTTGGGGTTTTCCCTTTCCTGTAGTGCGTTATATAGGTTTCTGTGCATGTAAATGGTCTGCTAAGGCTAAAATCCCAAAGTTTCCTTTCATATTAAATAATAATAATACACTTTATTTATATAGAACCTTTCAAATAGAGTTAAAACGGGCTCTAACATAATACACATTTTTTTATTATTAAATAAACACAGAGAATACAATTAACATAATTTAAAAGAAATTACCTAAATGTTTACATTTAAATGGGAATTTGTTCAATCACTACTAATTGTCATTTTTAATTATAGTGTAGTAGAAGTATTTACATTTCCTGCTATTTTATACTTCTACCCATCCGCAGTTTAGAGGCTAATGTTTTACTTTTTGCCAGTTGCAACATTAAATGCATCTATTGTATTCACAATTGTGCAAAACGTTAACACGAGTCATACTTGTAAGGGAAACTTCTGCAGCAATGGAGAGTCAGGACTCAGAGAGACACGAGGAGAGTTGGAGCTTTGATGTCAAACACTGGTAGTTTATTACAAGTCAACGGCCGGAGAATTCATATCACAAGCCACAGCAGCAAAAGGTTCTGACTGCACGGGTGGGTTGTCGTGTCAATTCTGATCAGCCTCTCTCTCGATAGACCTTTTAACTAGTTTACAGAGAGTTAATCAGCATATTGAGGGAGGCGTAAACATCTGTGGAGCTACAGGAGATATCCCCCAACTGGAAATACGCAATCACTTGTCAGTGGTGTTTAGAAGCCAGCGTTCTCACAGTCGTAAACCCCCCCATCAGGCCATAAAACTGACACTTAAGTGCTGGAGCACATTCCTTAAAGGAGATAACAGAATATTGGTTGGTTATTAACGTCAACAGGCAATAAGGTTAAATATCTAGGAGTAAAGACAAAATTATTCCCTCACAATACTCTAACAACTTATCTATGTTTTTTTTCAGTGTGACTACAAGTCTGAATGGAATAACTATATCAGAGGCACTGGATGGGTCCCTATCGGCTCAATTGGCGTTGAGACGGCTAAAATTGGCGGTCTGATTCAGAGCGACAACAGGTACCGCACCGACCCATCCACCCACAAGTTCAGCAAGCTGATGGACTCCATGGACATCGCTCTGGCTACTGCCAACAACAAGATCATGAACAAGGTACAACACGGTTAACTGTTCTGTAGAGTGCAGGGCCACTAAGTATGAATTATTACCATCATTCATTTGTTTTTCTGGTCTTACAGCAAGCATACACTGCAGCTTGGGATAAGGCCAAACTGAAGATCCACGTCATGCCTGATTCTCCTGAAATCATCCTGGCCAAGGCTAATGCCCTCAACATGAGCAACGTAAGAGGAATACTTAAAACTGTTTAACCTACCTCTAATTGTATATAAATGATGGTGATCGGTTTGTGTATTTTAACACTCTTACTTTTATCCAAACAGAAACTTTACAAAGCCGGTGTTGTGGCGATGGCCAATAAGGGCTACCATCTCAAAGGAGACGCCATCGCAATCTTGGCCGCCAAAGCTGGAACTAGAATTGCCAGTGACGTAAGTTGAACAAACATTCCTGTGCCACATTGAGAAGGGAATCTACTGAAACCCACCATGCATGTTAAACAAGTATTCTTTCACTGTTTACAGTACAAGTACAAGCTGGCTTACGAGAAGGCCAGAGGACACCATGTTGGTTTCCGCAGCGTCAAGGACGATCCTCTGATGGTCCACTACATGCAGTTGGCCAAATTGCAGAGTGACAAGAACTACAAGAAGGACTACCACAAGGCCAAGCTGAAGTATCACTCCCCAGTGGACATGATGAGTTTGGTGCAGGCCAAACATGCTTCGAAGGTTCAGACCTTCGCCGGCTACAGAACGATCCAGCACAGTTACTCTCTCCTCCCTGATGCAATTAGCCTGAAGCACTCTCGCACCATGAGCACCCAGGCTAGCGATGTAAGTTTGAAACATTAAAGGGGCCCTAACATGCTTCTTGGGATCTCCCCTTTCCTGTAGTATGTTATATAGGTTTGTGTGCATGTAAATGGTCTGCAAAGGCTAGAATCCCTGTGTTCCCTCCAGAGGGAGTTTCTTTACATTACATTACATTACATTACATTTAGCTGACGCTTTTATCCAAAGCGACTTACAATAAGTACATTCGACCAGGAAGACACAACCTTGAAGAAAACAGAATCATATAAGTACATCAGGTTTCATAGAGCCAAACATTTCAAGTGCTACTCAACTGGCTTTAGATAAGCCAGTCCTTTATTAGTATATAAGTGCTTTGTTAATAAATCTATCGCTCGAAGTGGAGTCGAAAGAGATGAGTTTTCAGTCTGCGCCGGAAGATGTGCAAGCTATCTGCTGTCCTGATGTCAATGGGGAGCTCATTCCACCATCTTGGAGCCAGGATAGCAAACCCACGTGTTTTTGCTGATGGGAACTTGGGTCCCCCTCGCAGCGAGGGTGCAGCGAGCTGTTTGGCTGATGCAGAGCGGAGTGCACGCGCTGGGGTGTACGGTTTAACCATGTCCTGGATGTACGAAGGGCCAGATCCATTCGCAGCATGGTAAGCAAGTACCAGTGTCTTGAAGTGGATTCTAGCAGTTACCGGAAGCCAGTGGAGGGAGCGGAGGAGCGGAGTAGTGTGGGAAAATTTAGGAAGGTTGAAGACCAGACGAGCCGCTGCATTCTGGGTGAGCTGCAGAGGTCGGATGGCACATGCAGGTAGACCAGCCAGGAGGGAGTTGCAGTAGTCTAGGCGTGAGATGACGAGAGCCTGGACCAGAACCTGAGTCGCTTTCTGAGTCAGCTGGGGACGTATCCTCCTGATGTTGTAAAGCGTGTATCTGCAGCAGCGGGTTGTAGCAGCGATGTTTGCAGTGAAGGACAGTTTGTTATCTAGGGTCACACCCAGATTCCTTGCAGTCTGAGTCGGGGAAACAACTGAGGTGCCGATGTTGATTGTTAGGTCAAGAGTGGGACAATCTTTTCCCGGGAGGAAGAGCAGCTCAGTCTTGTCAAGATTGAGCTTGAGGTGGTGAGCAGACATCCACTGATGTCCACAAAGGCAGAAAACAACTAATAATTGATTTTTATCAAACTCTAATCATCTGAATTATGTTTTTTTTCAGTGTGACTACAAGTCTGAATGGAATAACTATATCAGAGGCACTGGATGGGTCCCTATCGGCTCAATTGGCGTTGAGACGGCTAAAATTGGCGGTCTGATTCAGAGCGACAACAGGTACCGCACCGACCCATCCACCCACAAGTTCAGCAAGCTGATGGACTCCATGGACATCGCTCTGGCTACTGCCAACAACAAGATCATGAACAAGGTACAACACGGTTAACTGTTCTGTAGAGTGCAGGGCCACTAAGTATGAATTATTACCATCATTCATTTGTTTTTCTGGGCTTACAGCAAGCATACACTGCAGCTTGGGATAAGGCCAAACTGAAGATCCACGTCATGCCTGATTCTCCTGAAATCATCCTGGCCAAGGCTAATGCCCTCAACATGAGCAACGTAAGAGGAATACTTAAAACTCTTTAACCTACCTCTAATTGTATATAAATGATGGTGATCGGTTTGTGTATTTTAACACTCTTACTTTTATCCAAACAGAAACTTTACAAAGCCGGTGTTGTGGCGATGGCCAATAAGGGCTACCATCTCAAAGGAGACGCCATCGCAATCTTGGCCGCCAAAGCTGGAACTAGAATTGCCAGTGACGTAAGTTGAACAAACATTCCTGTGCCACATTGAGAAGGGAATCTACTGAAACCCACCATGCATGTTAAACAAGTATTCTTTCACTGTTTACAGTACAAGTACAAGCTGGCTTACGAGAAGGCCAGAGGACACCATGTTGGTTTCCGCAGCGTCAAGGACGATCCTCTGATGGTCCACTACATGCAGTTGGCCAAATTGCAGAGTGACAAGAACTACAAGAAGGACTACAACAAGGCCAAGCTGAAGTATCACTCCCCAGTGGACATGATGAGTTTGGTGCAGGCCAAACATGCTTCGAAGGTTCAGACCTTCGCCGGATACAGGAAGATCCCTAACGGCTACTTGATGCTGCCCGACAACTTGAACGTGCAGCGGTGTCGCAACATGATGGAGATTCAGAGTGATGTATGTTCTCACTTTTTACCCAAACAATAGCCTAGTAGCTTGAGCTTCAGAGTAGTTATGGCAGTGAACATCTGAAGTCCCAGGCTCCTTCAACAATGCAACATACAAGACATACAACAATAAAACTAATCTATAAAATAGTGCAAGAAGAAACAGAGTAGAATCAATAGTGCAAGATTATCTATACTATATACACATGTCGAAAAACTATTAAGTTAAATTGGACAATGGCATATGTTTTGTTTCTCTATTCTTAATTCAAGTGAAAAGTAAGCAATGGACTAATTATAAAAGGTGTGGTTAAAGTTCACGTGTTCAGACTAATGCTGGATACAAGCAGTCCAACCCACACTACACTGTGATGCCTGACGCTATGAACCTGCGACTTGCTCATAACATGCAGTTCATCGCCAGTGATGTACGTAGAGAGTCTGACTGAAATAATATCTATTAACACAAGACTTTCACTCCAAATTGGGACATTGACTTTGCATGTAGCTGTTTTGCATCTAAAATAAACTGTTTTTGTTGACTTCCCCCCTCAGAACCAGTACAAGAGTGAGTATGAAAGCTACGTTAAGGGAGTCGGATGGATTCCCATTGGATCGGTGGATGTTGAGAAAGCAAAATTAGCCGGACGTATCTTCAGCGAATCCAAATACCGTCAGTCTCCCAGCAAATTCAATTTCACTAAAGACATGCACTCCATGGATCTCTTACTGGCCACCGCCAACAACAAGATCATGAATAAGGTACTGGATAGGATTTGTGTTTTTTTTTAAATCACAAATTGGTCTACTCTAGCATTTATGTGACGTAAATGTTGTTTTTTAGCAATCCTACACCACTGCCTGGGAAAAAGCCAAGACTTCAGTCCACATGATGCCTGATGCGATGGACATTGTTCTAGCCAGAGGAAACAAGAAGAACGTCAGTGAGGTAAAGGGTTATACTTAATGTTTCCACACATGTTTTTCTAGATCTTTTCTGGGGTCTCTTATGGAAATAAACAAAACTAGCCGTATGGATTTCGCCAAAAGGAATTGTTTGGGACCAGTAAACAGAACGGTATCTCCATTTCGAGAGTAATCATATATTTGAAATAGTATTTGCTTTGTGTCTGAGCTAGATTACCAGGTTGCTGGATTTCAATCATCATTATATTTGTATTTTGAACTGTTGGTTAATAAACTTAATTGATTACATTACTTCATGTTGGTGCATTAGTTGATTCAGTATAAAGAAGACATGCTCTCCTTAATAAAAATGTATATCCTTTCTCTCTTCAGAAACTGTACAAGTTGGACCATGAGCTGTCCAAGAAGAAGGGCCACCATCTTCGTGGTGATGCCATTTCAGTCTTGGCTGCCAAAGCTTCCACTGCTATTGCTAGTGATGTAAGTGCCTGTGTGGATATTCCTATACTGTTCCAACAACTGTATACATCAATTGTGATATTCCCACCCTCAAGAGTTTTTTCATTTGATGATAAAACTCTCACACTTTCTTTTTTAGCACAAGTACCATGCAGGATACCGTAAGCAGGTCGGCCACCACATCGGTGCTCGCTGCGTCCAGGACGACCCTCTGCTGGTTCTGGCTCTGAACTCAGCCAAGATTGCCAGTGACGCTTTGTACAAGAAGGACTTCAACCAGTCCAAGACCAAGTTCAACCTGCCTGTGGACATGATTGCCTTTGCGCTGGCCAAGAAGAACCAGATCCAGGTCAACCACGCCAACTACATCACGCGTCTGCACAACTGGACTTGTCTTCCAGACTCTACTGATGTGCGCCAGGCCAGGCGCGCGTATGACATACAGAGTGATGTGAGTATGAATCCTTAACTGTTTACTTTGTGCAGTATTCGTTTTGCAGATATTTCAAGTTTTAGAATCATCGTTCACAACATTAAACCTTTTTGTTGCATCCAGAATGTGTACAAGGAGGACTTAAAGATGATGCAGGGTATCGGATGGGTGCCAATAGGTTCACTGGATGTTGAGAAGGCAAAGAAAGCCGGTGAGGCTCTGAATGAGAGGAAGTATCGTCAACACCCAAGCAACTTCAAATTCAAACTCACCACTGAGGACATGTCCCTGGTGTTGGCTAAGGCCAATAACAAGGTTATGAACAAGGTATTTTCTATGCAGTTTTTTTAAATGTTGTGTTTTATACAGTATTGATGCATGTTTTTCTGCAAGTTCACTTCACAGGTTGTCTTTAACTGTAAAGACAGTACTTTGTATTATGTTTTTTGTTCAGTTTTTCCAAACATAAGGAAGGACGATAGCATGGCCTGAAATAGAAAAGGAATTTTAGCTTTCATAACATAGGTTTTTCCTAATGTCGATAACAGCAAAGTCAATTTAACCATACTCTATAAGAATAAACATTGTTTGGTAAATAAGAGTAATTTACTCGAAACAAGCTGTTCATTGGAAGTGATATTAATGTCTAAATATCCAATGGGCTTATTTCGGGTACATCTAAAATAATATAATGATTAACAGACTTGCATTACATTATTTAAAATCTCATTTATACCCTGAATGTCTCTAAAATTGTTATTTTATGTTAAAAGATAGTGCTGTAGTTTCTGTCGCTCTGTGAGGAATATCAACACATCATCTGCATAGAGCAATATCAGTGATGATTCAGCCTTAAATATATATATTTCTTTTAGCACATCATTTGAAAGGTTTACAGATCAATGCAAACAACAACCCTGATTAAGTACAACCTTTGTTGTGCCTCTGCGTGTAGAAAATACATCTGAGGAGGTTATTAAGTGTAGTTTTAATCTATTCAATATAATCTTAAGCGAAATTGAATGTGAACAAAGCTGAGAAAAAGTTCCTGACGACTTGAAAACATTCTCCACTTCACTAGATTTAAGAAGTCCTACAAGTTAGGAGTTTTCTAATTTCATCAGCTGTATATATCATTTTTCTAAATGTTTTTAATTTTGTATTATTGAAACTAAACCTTTTTTGTTTTAATTTGATCTACAGCAAGCTTACAATCAAGCCTGGGAGAAAGACAAGACATCAATCCACATCATGCCTGACTCTATGGAGGTTCTTCTAGCCAAAGCAAACAAAACCAACTACAGTTTGGTGAGTCACATTTTCTGAGTAATTGATCGCTTTAAAGCAACATTATTATTGGTACACAACCATTTTTCAGAAGATGTTAATTTAAAAACATTTTATTTTCCTTTATACAGAACAAGTACAGGCAGGCAAATGAGGACGCCAAGAAGAAGGGCTACGACCTGCGCAATGATGCCATTTCTATCATCGCAGCCAAGAAGACCAGGGATATTGCCAGTGATGTAAGCGGTGGGATTTCTTTTTAACAAATACAAACCGTTTCCATATGTTTATCACTGCACATGTAACCATGAAACTTTGTTATTCAATTTTCTTCCAGCACAAGTACCATGCAGGATACCGTAAGCAGGTGGGCCACCACATCGGTGCTCGCTGCGTCCAGGACGATCCTCTGCTGGTTCTGGCTCTGAACTCAGCCAGGATTGCCAGTGACGCTTTGTACAAGAAGGACTTCAACCAGTCCAAGACCAAGTTCAACCTGCCTGTGGACATGATCGCCTTTGCACTGGCCAAGAAGAACCAGATCCAGGTCAACCACGCCAACTACATCACCCGTCTGCACAACTGGACTTGTCTTCCAGACTCCACTGATGTGCGCCAGGCCAGGCGCGCGTATGACATACAGAGTGATGTGAGTATGAATCCTGAAATGTATCTTATGGAAAGTTTATTTTTTAAACATCTTGGACCATATAACACAATGTTTCTGTTGCATCCAGAATGTGTACAAGGAGGACTTAAAGATGATGCAGGGTATCGGATGGGTGCCAATAGGTTCACTGGATGTTGAGAAGGCAAAGAAAGCCGGTGAGGCTCTGAATGAGAGGAAGTATCGTCAACACCCAAGCAACTTCAAATTCAAAATCACCACTGAGGACATGTCCCTGGTGTTGGCTAAGGCCAATAACAAGGTTATGAACAAGGTATGAAATCATCAATCCTGTAATCGAGAGGGTCAAAATGGCTCAGTTGAACTACTTATACTGATATGATGAAAGCTTTTCCGTTAATTAAAATGCATTCTTGCAGAGTATATTCTAATAATAATATATATTGTTTTATCTTTACAGAAAGCATACTCTGACGCCTGGAACCACGACAAGACAACGATCCACATCATGCCTGACTCTATGGATATTCTTCTAGCCAAAGCAAACAATGTCAACTACAGTTTGGTAAGTGAAAAATTAAACATATTATGGTAAAGCAATTACATACAGTATAAGGATAATATAATGATAATAGTAATACATTTTATTGATGTAAGATATTTCTAAACAAGGTTACAATATGCTATATTCATTAGGATATTGTTTGTTTTCGATACATCTGTGTCTTATTATAACTCAGACCTACTTTTAATCAGAAATGAATGTGTATTTAATGTGGGATGTTTGTTTACAGAAAAAGTACAAGCAGGCAAATGAAGACGCCAAGAAGAAGGGCTACGACCTGCGCGGCGATGCCATTTCCATCCTTGCTGCCAAGAAGACCAGGGATATTGCCAGTGATGTAAGCTGTGGGATTTCTTTTTAAAACTGTTTCCATATGTTTATCACTGCACATGTAACCATGAAACTTTGTTGTTCAATTTTCTTCCAGCACAAGTACCATGAAGGATACCGTAAGCAGGTCGGCCACCACATCGGTGCTCGCTGTGTCCAGGACGATCCTCTGCTGGTTCTGGCTCTGAACTCAGCCAGGATTGCCAGTGACCATCTGTACAAGAAGGACTTCAACAAGTCCAAGACCAAGTTCAACCTGCCTGTGGACATGATTGCCTTTGCACTGGCCAAGAAGAACCAGATCCAGGTCAACCACGCCAACTACATCACGCGTCTGCACAACTGGACTTGTCTTCCGGACTCCACTGATGTGCGCCAGGCCAGGCGCGCGTATGACATACAGAGTGATGTGAGTATGAATCCTTAAATGCTTACTTTGTGCAGTATTCGTTTTGCAGATATTTCAAGTTTTAGAATCATCGTTCACAACATTAAACCTTTTTGTTGCATCCAGAATGTGTACAAGGAGGACTTAAAGATGATGCAGGGTATCGGATGGGTGCCAATAGGTTCACTGGATGTTGAGAAGGCAAAGAAAGCCGGTGAGGCTCTGAATGAGAGGAAGTATCGTCAACACCCAAGCAACTTCAAATTCAAACTCACCACTGAGGACATGTCCCTGGTGTTGGCTAAGGCCAATAACAAGGTTATGAACAAGGTATGAAATAACATTACAATTATGTAATCATTAAAATGCATATTTGCAGTGTTCATCATAATTTCTCTCTTTTTTTTTTATGACCACAGAAAGCATATTCTGATGCCTGGAACAAGGAGAAGACGAAGATCCACATCATGCCTGATTCTATGGATGTTCTTCTAGCCAAAGCAAACAATGTCAACTACAGTTTGGTACGTGAACAATTCAGTATTTATGGTGATACAGCAACCCGTATTCCAGTTTACTTTCAAGGGTTAATTTATATACTTAATTTCTGGGATGTTTGTGTTTGTTTACAGAAAAAGTACAAGCAGGCAAATGAAGACTCCAAGAAGAAGGGCTACGACCTGCGCGGCGATGCCATTTCCATCCTCGCAGCCAAGAAGACCAGGGATATTGCCAGTGATGTAAGCTTTTTAACAAATACAAACCGTTTCCATATGTTTATCACTGCACATGTAACCATGGAACTTTGTTATTACATTTTCTTCCAGCACAAGTACCATGAAGGATACCGTAAGCAGGTGGGCCACCACATCGGTGCTCGCTGCGTCCAGGACGATCCTCTGCTGGTTCTGGCTCTGAACTCAGCCAGGATTGCCAGTGACGCTTTGTACAAGAAGGACTTCAACCAGTCCAAGACCAAGTTCAACCTGCCTGTGGACATGATCGCCTTTGCACTGGCCAAGAAGAACCAGATCCAGGTCAACCACGCCAACTACATCACCCGCCTCCACAACTGGACTTGTCTTCCAGACTCCACTGATGTGCGCCAGGCCAGGCACGCATATGACATACAGAGTGATGTGAGTGTAGCTCCCTTGCTTTATTGTTTTTATTTCAGTTTCATGCTACTAAGTATGTGAGGAATTTAATTGTTTTCTTTACTCACTTCAAAGGCTGTGTACAAAGCTGACTTGAAGTGGCTCCAGGGTTTGGGCTGGGTTCCCATTGGCTCACTGGATGTGGAGAAAGCCAAGAAAGCTGGAGATGCTTTGAATGAAAGGAAGTACCGCCAACCCCCAAGCAATTTCCCCTTCAAGAGCACCACAGAGGCTATGAACCTCGTACTTGCGAAGAATAACGCTTTGATCATGAACAAGGTTCGAATTGAAATATTTTGGGTTGAATTCAAATATATCTTTGTGAAAAAAGGTCTATTACTACCGTGATTTGCAATGGAGACCTCTCTCTTGAGATCTCTTCAGTTAAAACCATCAAGTAACACTTATTTGTGGTTTGTTCCAGCAACTCTACACCGCCGCATGGGAGAAGGACAAGACCAAGCTGCACATCAACCCTGACACCCCTGAGATCGTCCTCGGTCAGCAGAATGCTATCACCATGAGCAAGGTTAGCTTAGTGAAGAAGCTGAATTATTGGACCTCCATTTGTTGAAGAGCTGTTAACAAAAGTATTCATATTGTGTCTTTCTTTGTAGAAACTCTACAGACAAGGTTATGAGGATACCATCAGCAAAGGATATTTCCTTCCCGGGGATGCTATCTCTATAAAGGCTGCTAAGTCCTCCAGGGACATCATCAGTGATGTAAGTGACCACAACTCACAACAACACTAGCTATAACAACACTGTCATGCAATATTTTTTTTTTGGGGCAAATTATTATTGTTATTAATGGCTGCTACTTTTTGTTTACACTCCTTTATACTGGAAGAACACTTACTTCTGTAATGCTGTCATTTATAATCGGGATTTCTGATAACATAAAACCTTTTTCTGTTGATATCATCAGTACAAGTACAAGACAGGATACCGTAAGCAGGTGGGCCACCACATCGGAGCCCTGAGCGTCAAAGACGACCCTCTGATCGTTCTGGCTATGAACTCAGCCAGGATTGCCAGTGACGCTCTGTACAAGAAGGACTTCAACCAGTCCAAGACCAAGTTCAACCTGCCTGTGGACATGCTGAGTATCGAGCTGGCCAAGAAATGCCAGATCCAGGTCAACCACGCCAACTACATCACCCGCCTGCACAACTGGACCTGCCTGCCCGACTCCAGTGATGTGCGCCAGGCCAGGAAAGCGTACGATCTGCAGAGCGATGTGAGCCTCTCTTGGACATGTTCAACATCTTTCAACAAACAATGTGCTGAGGTGTTTTAATGTTACATGTAAACTATTTTCCCAACAGGCTGTATACAAGGCTGACAGGGATGAGGTGATAGGCGTCGGATGGATCCCCATAGGTTCAGTTGATGTGTTGAAGGCAAAGCACGCTGGAAAGATTCTCAGCGAACATCTGTACAGGTTGAAACCAGACAAACAGAAATTCACCACGGACATGTCTTCCATGTCCATGGTCTTGGCCAAAGCAAATGCTGGCATCATCAACAAGGTGAAGAATATCACATCCCTCTTTTACAATTCCTTCGATCATCTTCTGGTGTGTTAATGTGTTTTCAATCCCTTTTTTATGTTCCTCACAACAGAAAAACTATACGGCAGCTTGGGAGGCTGACAAAGTCAAGAACCATATAAACGCAGACTTACCTGAGATTCTGCTCTCTAAAGCTAATGCTTACAACATGAGCAAAGTACGTTCGGTCTGTTTTGACCTCAACTTGTAAGAAAATATGATGCTGATAGTGTTCATTTTATAATCAACTATCTAAATGTTTCTTTCAGAAATATTACAGGGAAGCTGTTGACGCGATGTTCAGAAAGGGCTACGACATCAAGTCCGATGCTGTCTCTATTGTTGCTGCCAAAAAAGGAAGAGAAATCATCAGTGATGTACGTAACTTACGAAAGGACACTTTTCTCTCAGACATATAGCAATACGAAATAACCTGTGGCTCAAAAACGGGGGCCCAAGGCTATACAAATGTGTGCTTACTTGTATTGTACTTTAGATTAGATATACTTTATTGATCCCAATTTGGCAAAATATACCCATTTTGACAGTGAACGATATACTGTATATCTATTATATAAAATATAATTATACAAGATTGACGTCAGTGTCACAATGATATGCCAACCTATGACTAACTAAATGTATACATAAGATAATTTTTTTATTAAAGACCTTCACCTTCTCTTTCTACACAGTACAAATATAAGGCAGGATACCGTAAGCAGGTGGGCCACCACATCGGTGCTCGCTGCGTCCAGGAAGACCCTCTGATCATGCTGGCTCTGAACTCCGCCAGGATTGCCAGTGACGCCCTGTACAAGAAGGACTTCAACCAGTCCAAGACCAAGTTCAACCTGCCCGTGGACATGCTGAATATTGAACTGGCCAAGAAATGCCAGATCCAGGTCAACGACTTCAACTACAGGACTCACCTGCACAACTGGACCTGCCTGCCAGACTCCACTGACGTGCGCCAGGCCAGAAAGGCTTACGACCTGCAGAGCGATGTAAGTAACGAGAGTTTATCAGAATGTGTTTGCTCAATTTTATCTTGCTTATTTATTTTATTCAATGTGTCTCCACTTTTTATCCTCCCGATATGACTTGTAGGCTGTTTATAAGGCCGACATGGAATGGATGAGGGGAACCGGTTGGGTGCCAATAGGTTCAGTTGATGTGGAGAAGGCCAAGAAAGCAGGAGAGATCCTGAATGAAAGGAAGTACCGTGAGCATCCCAGCAAATTCAAGTTCACAGCCAAGACAAGTGACATCCCATATGCCCTCGCTACGGCAAATGCCCATATCATGAACAAGGTAGAGATCCTATAACATTGTACTTTATTGTTATTTTGCATTTTTATCTCGTAAGTAAGCGTTGACTTACTTCCCTTTGTTCGACTCGATGAATCGCATAAAACTGTGTCAATCTGCTGTTTACAGAAAGCGTACACTTCCGCCTGGGATACGGATAAGGTCAAACTTCACATGGGTACTGACATCCCAGAGATCATCCTGGCCAAGCAGAATAATATCAACACCAGTCTGGTAATGTAGTGCCTCTCAATGTAGTTCTTAAACCAATAAGGGCATCACATATGATCATATTAATAATTGTTAACTTGCTAAAAGAATAATTATCAGATATTGTCCTAATGTTTGAAGAATGAAGGACATTTTAGTGTTGATGTTTTAATCACTGGTACAAGGAAATAGTCTCCATTGGTACTGATATTGGAATTTAAACTAAATGTATAGCAGACATACTAACTGCCTAATTCTTCTTTTGGATCCCAGAAACAATACCGTGAAGGCTATATGGAAACCATCAACAAAGGCTACTACCTTCCCAAAGATGCCATTTCTGTTTTGGCAGCTAAGGCCTCCCGAAATATCATCAGTGATGTAAGTCTGTCTTTATTTGTGAAGTATTATGCTTCACAATTTAAATTCTTCAGCAGCATTATCCTTTATTTAATTCACTGCAATGATTCCTTTTATGAGAATAATGTAAATATTTCCATCCCATGTTTTTAGTACAAATACAAGGCCGGTTTCCGCAAGCAGTGTGGCAATCAAATCGGTGCACTCAGCGTCAAAGACGACCAGCTGATCATGCTGGCCGCTAATGCAGCCAAGATCTTCAGTGACAACCTGTACAAGAAGGACTTCAACAAGTCCAAGACAAAGTTCAACCTGCCAGTGGACATGCTGAGTATCGCGCTGGCCAAGAAATGCCAGACCCAGGTCAACCAAACCAACTACTCCACCCGCCTGCACAACTGGACCTGCATGCCCGACTCCACGGATGTGGTCCGTGCTAGGAAGGCCTACGCCTTAAACAGCGATGTAAGTATATGTAATGTGTTAGAAAAATATCACTCGTCACTGGCTTGAGGTTCAATATCAGGATACATGTATTTATTATCCTTGCAAGAATGTAAGTAGACATCACATACAGAGCATCAACTAGTTCCTGAACAGTGTCCTTCACATGCTGATATCCAAGAGAGGGAGTTACACAGTCACAAGATGGAGGAATAGAAAGCAGTATTCAATGTTTACTTCAGATTAGCTCCACGTCAGAAATGAGCATGCTTGTCATATGTCTATCTTCATAGAGGCTGAATCATCATGTTAATCACATAGCTATCATATGCATAAAACAGTCCTGATGCTCTTCTAGGTAATCACACATCCTGTCATGTTCACAGCTACAGTTGGGATACCTTTGTTATCACGTGACTCTCATATTGGAAGAGGACATTCAGTATTTTCCCAACATTATGTTATTCGGTTTGTGGAGAGGGAAATCACTTCGTCCAAGTTGAAAAACCTACAAGAACAAAAACACATCTGTATTTGTTGTCTTTCTTTTTTCAGGCCGTGTACAAATCTGATATGGAGTGGCTGAGAGGATGCGGCTGGTCCCCACAGGACTCAGTGGACGTCGTCAAAGCTAAGCACGCCATGAAGATCTTCAATGAGAGGCTCTACCGCCAGCCCCCAAGCAGCGAGAAGTTCACCAGCGTGGTCGATCTGCCAGCTATGGTCCTGTCCAAGCAAAACGCTATCAACATCAGTGATGTGAGTTATTACATATTCAGTAATGCAAAATGCCTTTCCTAGTACATGTTAAACTCAATATGTTTTTAATCCTTTTTATTTATTTCTGACAGAGGAAATATAGGGAAGTCTGGGATAATGAGAAGCTCAAATTCCACATGCCGCCCGACGCCCCCGGCTTTATTCTGTCCAAGGCCAATGCTATCAGCATCAGCAATGTAAGTTTGCTTTAAAACAAGCCAAGTTCTACCCATGTTAGAAGTATTGAAACTTTACATAAATGTCTTTAAAATGCACAGGTTGAAATGTAGTTTTATAAAGTACTTACTTTTTGGTTTGCTTCAACTGTTTTTTTGATCATATGTTCTTGTTCTGTGCAGAAACTGTACACGAAGAGTTGGGATGAGCAGAAGGCCAAAGGCTACCACATCAAGGAGGATACTATCTCTGTGCTGAAGGCCAGAGCTTCCAGGGATATCGTCAGTGATGTAAGTAAGGCTTAAATACAGTAAAATCATACATGAAATACATTTCTTGCTTCATCGTCTATCTCTTCTCTTTTAGTACAAGTATAAGACAGGATACCGTAAGCAGGTGGGCCACCACATCGGTGCTCGCTGCGTCCAGGAAGACCCTCTGATCATGCTGGCTCTGAACTCTGCCAGGATTGCCAGTGACGCCCTGTACAAGAAGGACTTCAACCAGTCCAAGACCAAGTTCAACCTGCCCGTGGACATGCTGAATATTGAACTGGCCAAGAAATGCCAGATCCAGGTCAACGACTTCAACTACAGGACTCACCTGCACAACTGGACCTGCCTGCCAGACTCCACTGACGTGCGCCAGGCCAGAAAGGCTTACGACCTGCAGAGCGATGTAGGTTTATAGAAATGCTTGTGGATAATATTGAAGCAATGATCACATATTTATTGAATTATATGTAATCTGTATCCTATTGTAGCCCGAGCAACTCTCACATTGTAAATACTGTACATTTATATCTCATAAACATGAACCTGTTTTTGTTTCCTCAGGCTGTGTACAAAGCGGATATGGAATGGATCCGTGGATGTGGATGGAATCCACATGAGTCTGTGGATGTAGTGAGGGTGAAGCAAGCACAGAAGGTCCTGGCTGATGTAAGTGTGACTTCCATTTAGCTTCTTAAATACACACATTTATATACATTTGTTAAACATTTTGCATATGCATTTGTTCCCTCAGTGTATTTGCTAAATTATTCTTCTTTCACACCTTTCCTGCTATTTTACAGAGAGGCTACCGTGTGAAGCTGGATACGCAGAAATACATTGTTCCAACTGACAGGCTGGACATGATCTGTGCCAAGAATGCTGCTAAAGTCCTCAACGAGGTGAGGAAGACTCTGCCATTTGGATGTGTTTGAGGCCTAATATCTTCAATTAAACCACTTAAACGTGACAATGACAGATTCCAGTTTTTGTTTGGTAACTAACTTCTGGTTTATCCTTCTGTTCAGCCCAAATATCGTGAGGCCTGGCACAAGGACAAGACCAAGTACTCCCTTCCAGACACTCCAATTCTCGCCACAGCCAGAGAGGTGGCTAAGATTCTTCACCCGGTAAGATGACTGAAGATTTGCTACATATTACATTTTAACAATACCTAATCCTTTGCCTATTTCATCGTCTGTTATCATCAGCTTGACAAATCATCATACAACTTATAATAACCATTTCCACCTCTTGCAGAAACTGTACACCAAAGCCTGGGATAAGGTCAAAGCCACAGGCTACTTCATGCCTGGAGACGCTGTACCAATCAAGCAGTGCATCTCCACGAGTAAAGTGCAGAGTAAAGTGAGTAGACTGACCCCTCCTTTCATAATCAGAATATGAAATGAAAGTTGTTCTTAATTGAACTGTGGGTTTGGGCATATAGAGATAATGATTTTCTTTTTCTGCAGCATAAGTACCTTGAATCGTACCGTAAGCAGGTGGGCCACCACATCGGTGCTCGCTGCGTCCAGGACGACCCTCTGATCATGCTGGCTCTGAACTCTGCCAGGATTGCCAGTGACGCCCTGTACAAGAAGGACTTCAACAAGTCTAAGACCAAGTTCAACCTGCCCGTTGACATGCTGAATATTGAACTGGCCAAGAAATGCCAGATCCAGGTCAACGACTTCAACTACAGGACTCACCTGCACAACTGGACCTGCCTGCCAGACTCCACTGACGTGCGCCAGGCCAGGAAAGCGTACGATCTGCAGAGCGATGTGAGTGCTAATCACACTTTCCCCGGATTTTATATCATATTAATATTAGGTGTTCTGCCCTCACTGTTGTTATGAGTACAGTTATGCAGATAGATAACTCCTCGACAAGTGGCAAGCGTTTATCTCCTTAAATAAGATATTTATATCCACAAGTCAACAGAGTAAAACTGAAAGAAACACAATATACATAGAAATTAGGCACTTAGCTGTGTTGCAAAAATATATATACAACATTTCAATACACCACAAACATAACAAAATTGCAATGTATTTAAACATTGAAATAATATCGAAAATACTCGTTGATATCCACACAAATAATATGAAAAATACTTACAGGCAATGCTTTCTACAACATAGCAAAGAAGGATGGATTCAGATTCAAACTCTAGTCTCACTACTCACATGTGGGTATCACTTCCTATGTTTTCAATATAAGTCATTCCCATTGGCTGCCACTAATAAAAGAAGAAGTAACACAAAACAACAGCACCACCTGCTGGCTGGAGTAAGACAGCGTCTTAGACGGCACATTAGGGCTGTGATACGATACATATCCTGACAAGGGGGTGTTGGAAAAATATCACTCGTCACCGGCTTGAGCTTCAATCTCAGGATCCATGTGTTTCTGATCCTCTCCAGAATGGAAGTAGTCATCACATACAGAGCATCAACTAGTTCCTGAACAGTGTCCTTCACATGCTGATATCCAAGAGAGGGAGTTACACAGTCACAAGATGGAGGAATAGAAAGCAGTATTCAATGTTTACTTCAGATTAGCTCCACGTCAGAAATGAGCATGCTTGTCATATGTCTCTCTCCATAGAGGCTGAATCATCATGTTAATCACATAGCTATCATATGCCTAAAACAGTCCTGATGCTCTTCTAGGTAATCACACATCCTGTCATGCACACAGCTGCAGTTGGGATACCTTTGTTATCATGTGACTCTCATATTGGAAGAGTACATTCACTATTTTCCCACCACGTGGTATGATTAATGTATAATATGTGTCTTGCTTTCTTTCTTCAGTGTGTGTATAAGGCTGACATGGAATGGCTCCGAGGCTGCGGCTGGATGCCGGCGGAGTCCGTCCACCACGTCAAAGCCAGGAATGCTCAGGCGATTCTCAACGAGGTATGTTGACCGTAATCACACTGCTGTTTTCTTTCAGCCCATTGTTTTGTTTTCAGTTCATTGTGACCAGTGGTGTAGTGGGGATTTTTTTACTGGGGGGACGCTATTTTAATTAGGTAATCCCAAACAATGCCACACAAGTGCGCACGCGCGAAGTGCACTCGCAACACGGGCAGACAGGCCCAAAGAAACTACCGGCATGCTTAGTCCTATAGTTGCTGTACTGCAAAAAGTAGACGGCGCTGTGCTCAACACACACACAGAAAATCATGGACACACTGGCATATTTAAATTACATAAACAATGTATAGGCCTAAATTGCATAAGCTACAGTATTGCAACTAAGCAGACGATGATCTGGACTTGAAATTATTCTGATTAGGCCTAGCCTACATTGCAAATAAGCAGACAGCGCTGCTTTTCTCACACACACACACACACACTCACTCACTCACTCACTCACTCACACCTTGCGTTTTGAAGACTGATAAATCCGAAATGGATGAACAAACTTTGCAGCCCAGTTTCCCAGCTTTGCAGTCTCCACGGGTAGCCTCTTGTTTCCTCTGCCACATCTCCTCCGTCCATACCTCTGGGAAAGGTGAGCTTGAGCTAGCTAGCGGAACGTTGCTAGCGCAGCTAACGTTGACGTTAGTGCTAGCATTATCCACGTCTTTAGGCGGCTCTTCTGATGATGTAGTACTAGTAGCAACTTCACTTGCTGCTAGCCTCTTTCTTCTTGTGAATTATATTATTTTTAGAAAAGAAGTCAAGTAAAAAATGTTTGCCTGCCATTATAGAGCTTTTTCGTTAGCATTCTTGAGGGAAAGAGCTACCGCAAAATCGGCAGGCAGTGAGCTGGCTCGCCGTGGGACACACCCCCAGCTCGCCGCGGGGTCATGAGCGTGATGATGAATCATAATTCTTTAAGGAAATCGTTTTTATTTTGTATTATAATTACTGTGAAATGTATTATGTTTTTGTCATTATTACAACAAATACACACTTGCAACTGATAACACTGGCAATGATTTTATATTTATTAGACTATTAAAAAAAAGATTGTGCTCCAAATAAGTGGGGGTACGGCGTACCCCCGCGTCCAACGCCCACTACACCACTGATTGTGACTCACCTCAATGTTGTTTTTTTTACCTTGCAGAGACACTACAAGCAGGGCGCAACGGATGGCTTCGCAAAATTCACCCACATCGTGGACCGTCCTGAGCTCATCTTGGCGAGAGTTAACGCTGCTAACCTCAGTGATGTATGTAAAAAAAAAGAAGTTTAACTTCTCAATTTCAAGAAGCAAAGTAAAACGATGAATAACGTTGTTTGCTTCCCACTATAGCTGAAGTACAAAGAGACCTTCAACGCAGAAAAGGGTCACTATATTGGTTCGGAAGACACTCCTCAACTGGCACACAGCAGGGAAGTGGGCAAGAACGTCAGCGAGGTAATGCAATATCCTAAGATTATTTCATAAATGTATGATATTTGTTGGTAACATCAGACTTGCCTTTAACTCTGTGTCTACTTTGGGTCACTTCAGAAAACATACAAACATCAATGGGACGAGTCTAAGGCTACTGGCTACAAGCTGGACCAGCAATACATCCCACTTCTCAGCGGAAAAAAGGGCAGGGAAATCATCAGTGACGTAAGTGACTCCTTTAGGGTGTTCATTGCTAAATGTAAAAGCACAAGGGCATCATGTTTTCTTCTTATAGTAGGTGGACTGAAAACTGACTTTCATTATTCTGGACTTTTTTCTAGGCCAAGTACCATGAGCTCCATGAGAAGGTAAAGGGTCACTACATGGCCGGGACCCTGGTGGACTTCCCTGAGGTGATGCGCTGTGGGGGACAGGAGAAGAACAAGGGACTGGTAAGATATCCTCTATTTATTCCATACATGACAAGACATCCTTCAATTGATAAGAAAGTTAAACAAGATATGAATGATATTGCAAAATGAAAGCCAAAGAAAGTTTTTAAAAGTTATTCAAATACTACAAAAAACTCCCTTAAGCGAGAGATTTATAATCAATAGTCAAAATAGCACCTTTCTTTAGGTAAATCTAAGGTCTGTCACAAACTTGGACCAGATCAACTTTTATCATAATCAGGTGTGTTGCCGCGTAGGTTAACACACATAAGGAATTTGCTTTAATCTTTAGTGGTGCATACATAGGAGAGGAATACGGTTGCAAGGAGCAAATAGAAGAAGAAATAGACCTTGAAGTGTGATGTTATTGTTGGATATTGTCAGATGTGTGAAGTTATGGAGTAAAAATACTTTGTTACTGTACTTAAATACATTTCTCTTGTATCAGTACTTTACTCCACTACGCTATTTTTCTGATGACTTTTAACTTTGACTTCTTACATGTTGAACTCAAATACCTGAACTTTCTACTTCTTACATGTTGAACTCAAATACCTGAACTTTCTACTTCTTACATGTTGAACACAAATACCTGTACTTTCTACTTCTTACATGTTGAACTCAAATACCTGTACTTTCTACTTCTTACATGTTGAACACAAATACCTGTACTTTCTACTTCTTACATGTTGAACACAAATACCTGTACTTTCTACTTCTTACATGTTGAACACAAATACCTGTACTTTCTACTTCTTACATGTTGAAGACAAATACCTGAACTTTCTACTTCTTACATGTTGAACTCAAATACCTGAACTTTCTACTTCTTACATGTTGAACTCAAATACCTGTACTTTCTACTTCTTACATGTTGAACTCAAATACCTGAACTTTCTACTTCTTACATGTTGAACTCAAATACCTGTACTTTCTACTTCTTACATGTTGAACACAAATACCTGAACTTTCTACTTCTTACATGTTGAACACAAATACCTGAACTTTCTACTTCTTACATGTTGAACTCAAATACCTGTACTTTCTACTTCTTACATGTTGAACTCAAATACCTGTACTTTCTACTTCTTACATGTTGAACCCAAATACCTGTACTTTCTACTTCTCTCATTTTCCAAACAGCTGGTTCCTTTAGTCTGAATGTGTGTTTGATGCGTGATCATTATTCTTTAGAGTCATTGCGTGCCTATTGATTTGAACATGATCCGTGTATCCATCATTTCCTGGTCTTCTCTAAAGAAGAGGGACCAATGGAAACGTTGTCATGTTGCCGTTGTTCAGCATGGAAACATTCATTAGCTAACAATGACATTATTGTTCTATTAATATAAAGGGAGGTCAGGTACTCTTTAAAACAGCTGCTAGCTATGGGTACTTTTTACTGAAGTACATTTCAAAGCCCATACTTCTTTACTTTCACTTAAGTGAAGACGTTTAGTCAGTACTTCTACTTTCACCAGAGTATTTTTAAACAAGAGTATCTGTACTTCTACTTGAGTAAAGGGTGTGTGTACTTTTGCCATCTCTGCATATTGTTCATATTGGTAATGACAATGTCAATAACTTTCCATGTTTCCTCTCTTCACAGAGGCTCTACAATAAGGACTACCACACCACCAAGACCAAGAACCACATCCCCCCGGACATCATCGCTAACAAGGTGGCTAAGCGCAGCCAGGACATGCTGAGCGAGGTGCTCTACCGGACCCACCTGCACCAGTGGACCTGCCACCCCGAGCAGGAGGACCTCATCCGCGCCCGCAAGACCAACGAGATCCTCAGCGATGTAGGTTTATTATTTAGGAAACTGTTGCGTTTTTTATAATTTGAGGTATGGACTAATCCAGGAAGCTTCTCGTCAAGTTCACAGCCAGACAAATTACCCAATAAAACACATTGATGTATTGATTATTCTCACAAAACACAACGGGGTGCTTGTACCTGTTTTTTGCGCAGTGTCCTGTGGTAGATGTTTGGACAAATTCAACAACTGTTTAGATTTGTGTTTGTTAGATATACAAGCATTTGATTAAATATAACCAATTGTATATGTATGTATTAGAATATATGCAACAAATAGAGAGAGATAGAAGAAGAAAAACACTATTATTCTACCAGGGGAAATTCCGACTTTAGTCTTATACAGTTATAGAAAACAAAAATTAATTCACAAATACAATCTAATGTTATTAATACAACCCAATGTCACAAAACACCATTGTCTTAGTGGGCTTCAAAGATCATCAAACATGAATGAGAATATAAAAATATATAATAAAATTACAAGATAAAATGCAAAATACAAATAAAATGGAGTAAAATAAAATAACAACAGGACCTATACACATAAGGTCCTCGAGATACATACATGCACGAAATGAGCACTCAGCACATGAGATAGTCTCTACAAGATGGACACCCTATTTTCAAACCATAATAAGATATCAGTGGGATCTTCATTTAACCATTTCTGCAGTAGCCCAAAGGCTTATTAAGATGTTCAATGCTTGCGTTCAACTTGATATGGAGTATAAACTATGTTTGCAAGCAACGGATTGTATCAGATTTTTTTCTCCGTTATTAAATATGTAATTTGTGCTTTTTGCTCTTGCCGTTCAAAAGGTGTTCTACAAGGAGGACCTGAACTGGATGAAGGGAATGGGTTGCTTCGTCTGGGACACCCCGGAGATCCTTCGTGCCAAGAAGTCCTACGAGCAGCAGAGCGAGGTGAGTGACTTCAAACAATTGTATTAATAATGTATGGTTTATATGTTAATACAGTGATGACTCAACCATGTGATATCTTCTCTTCCAGCTTAAATACAGAGCGGAGGCCAAGAAGGAGTTCAACAATTACTCCATTGTGACTGACACCCCAGCCTATGTGACGGCCATCCTGGGTAACACCTGGGCTAGTGATGTGAGTGAGCTGGACCCTTTCAAACATATATATGAAGTTTAAAGGTCACCTATTAAGCAGAATCCACTTGTTCATGTCTCTTCTATATCAACATGTGTCCCCTCTTCTCCATGTCTCTTCTACATCAACATGTGTCCCCTCTTCTTCATGTCTCTTCTACATCAACATGTGTCCCCTCTTCTTCATGTCTCTTCTACATCAACATGTGTCCCCTCTTCTTCATGTCTCTTCTACATCAACATGTGTCCCCTCTTCTTCATGTCTCTTCTACATCAACATGTGTCCCCTCTTCTTCATGTCTCTTCTTCATCAACATGTGTCCCCTCTTCTTCATGTCTCTCTTCATCAACATGTGTCCCCTCTTCTTCATGTCTCTTCTTCATCAACATGTGTCCCCTCTTCTTCATGTCTCTTCTACATCAACATGTGTCCCCTCTGTGGAAAGAGACTCTGAAAGTTTCAGGAACAAAGATTCTCTCTCTTTTTGTCCTGATCCATTTCTATAAAAACCTGTCTGAAAATGAGCTGATCAGATTTTTGGCTTGTGTAACCATTAGCCAATCAGCAGCCAAGGTAACCCCCCCCCCCCCCTTATCACCTGAATCTCCTCCTAGAGCACCGTTGAGTTCTTTGTAACCAAATGTCTCTCAGAGGGGCGTGGGGAGGGGCTCCTTATTTTCATCTGAAGTAACAGACTCAGCACTTTGGAAACAGGGCTGAAACAGAGGGGATTATGGGTAATGCTGCAATGATCTGTTTGGTGTTTGGAGCCAAACACTTCACAGACATGTTTGTATATACTGTATCTGAGACCTATAATATATTGAGGAAAAACAGTATATCAGGGGACCTTTAAGTTAAAATGCCTAAATGTGTGTTAATTAAACTATTATCTTTAACAGCTCAACTACAGGGAGGCCTATCATAAGGAGAAGCACCTGTACACCACCGTTCTGGATACCTACGACTACGCCAAGTGCCGCAACTTCAAGCACTACTTCAGCAACGTAAGTGACGACTCTTTAATCCAGTGACATGATTGAAGATCTGCTTTAAATAGCATGTTGATAACGTGTTGTTGTTTTACTTTCCACAGAAAAACTACACTGCCGCCTGGGACAAAATCAAAGACAAGAGCTACCAGATTCCTCACGATTCTCACGCCATGGAACACGCCAAATTGCAGAAAGTTATCCTCAGCGGCGTGAGTTTAACTTCTGGTTATTTCATTTGTTTTTGGATTTTAAGAAATTATTCACAAAGCTTACATAACAAAATAAACACATGTAGGTACATAACTTAACTACATAACAGTTGACACATCCGAAATTAAATATTAATAATAATTGTAATAATAATACAAATAAAAGGATGCAATATTAATACTCAGGTATACATTAATTGTCAATTCTTACCTCAATCAATCAATCAATGAACAACTTTATTAATCCCGCAAGGGGCAATTGGTTATGAGCAGCAGCTCATGTCATGAACACAGGCAGGAACATACAAGAAGAAAACACACAGATACACCCGGGAGCACAGATGTGAATAATTCTAATTTACACTATAAATAGTTCAAAGCATCACAATAATAAATAAATAAATAAATAATCAAGTTAAAAGCCTTTTCAAGAATTTAAAAGTTTGAGTGCAGAAGGGATGAATGATTTAGAAAAGCGATTAGTCCTTTGAGCAGGTAGAGCATATCTTCGCCCTGATGGCAACAGACGAAATTCATATGAAAGAACATGACCTCATGTTCCTTATAAATCTTCATTATACTTTACCCACCTTTCCTCAAAGATATGCATTTGGTTTCTAATAGTTGTTTTCTCCATTACATATATTTCATTTATTAGGTTCTTCCATTGAGAGTTTATTAAGTTATTATCTTTCAGCCGATTCCTTGTAATTTGTTTAATGATCGCTTTTCTTACCAGAAGAAATAGATAATTCATTTATTTCATTCTACGTTATAACTTTGCAGGTTTTTTCTTCACATATCATTTGGACTGTTTTAAGAGACAATGTGCTTTTGTCCCTTTAGGTGAAGTACAAGGAGGACTACGAGAAGTTCAAGTCCCTCTACAGTCTGCCCAAGTGTCTGGAGGACGATCCGGCCACCGCTCGCTGCGTCAAAGCCGGAAAGCTGGTGCTTGATGTAAGTGACATTAATCAGGCTTTTTTTTATCACGCTGTGTGTCTGAATTATTGTTAGTCAGAGAAGACTGAAAGATTAACACTACTTGAAAAACCAAGCTGCTAAAATTAGTCAAACTGGGTTGTTTTGTGCATTAAAATATCACTGAAAGAATTTTTTTTTATCATTACATTATTGTATTTGTACCCATTAGAAGCATGAAATTCAAGATATTGTAAATATTTGGTATCAGGAGATGTCAAAAAGCCACAAGCTGATATAACCAACCTCCTCTCAACTTAAGAAATAATTGAATTTGTTTCGGTTTTTTTGACGGAGGAAAACTCGAATTCAGTTTGAACTATTCCAAAAAATAGTTGTAAAAAAAAAAAAAAAAGACGTCCAGAAAATGCATGACGAAAACGACCAGAACATGTGAATTAAATGAAAATATAATTGCAGTTCATTAAAGAAATGTAATAAGAAAATAAGCTAACTTTGTTAAGTTCCATTAAATGTGATCCCTAATAATATCGAACACTCCCAAGCTCTTGATAACATATCCAACCATCTGGTGTCTGTCTGTATAGCGTCTGTACAGGGAGGACTATGAGAAGACCAAGGCTAAGAACCACATCCCTGCAGACATGCTGGAGATCCTGTCCGCCCACAAAACCCAGTCCTCCGTCAGCGAGATCAACTACCGCAAGAAACTGCACCAATGGATCTGCCTGCCCGACATGCAGGTGTACACGCAGGCACGCAAAGTCAACGAGCAGCTCAGCGACGTAAGTCAAACTCAGAGGGATTTCATGAGCTTGTTATAGAATAGAATCCTTTATTGTCATTATACAGGTACAATGAGATGAGGAGTAGAGTTACTCCTTTGCACATGTCACAGGTGCCATCAAAAAACAAAAACAAGAGACGTACAACATTCAGGAGAAGACAACATACAAACAACAAGCATTCATACTTCAATATGCAGATACAGTTAAAGTGCAGGAATATATCGGTTTAAGTAAAAATAAATATGTTTGAATTAGTTACTGCAAAGCTAAAGACTGGTCAAAGGTACAGCCATGTTCTTGCATATACAGTATTGTGTACTATACCTTCCTATTTAAACACAAACATTGTAACATGATGCCATTTTCTAACATCATATCTTCTCTATTTATAAATACTTTGACAATTCAAGGAAACCACATGTAGAGGCGAACAAATAACTGCTTTACCAATCAGTGCTCCAGTACTATTTGCACATATTTAAAATAGGTAATGTACAAAAACTCAAGAGCACGATTGGCCACACTCTAAGAACATTAGCTTCTCTGTGAAAACAGTCCAACTCACAATGAGCAGCGATAATAGCCACACTTAGTTACAGTGAAGAAAACACACACACACACCCACATACCATGTATACATCACTTCAGGGGACATTACATTGACTTACATGCATTTCCTGGAGACTTATCCTCACCTTAACCATAATCAACACATGCCTAACCCTAACCCTTAACCTTACCAAGTCTTCACCCTAAAATTAATGATTCCCCTCATGGGGACCTCCATTTTGTCCCCATAAGGGAGGCGAGTCCCCACACGTGACTGTGTAAACAGATTTAGGTCCCCACAAGTATAGTAATGCTAGGCCACACACACACACACACACACACACACACACACACCACACACACACACACACACACACACACCACACACACACACATTTATTTTGAGATTCAGATCAGGATGTAAGGACAGCTCTCTCATTCACTTAATTGTTACTTTTTGGGGAAATACATGGGACAAAATGTATGTATGGAAAACAAGGTTATTATATAATCACAGAATCACATTGTACTTTGTCTCTGTTTGCGAAAAAGACAAATTGCACCGAGCTGCAAAACTCAATAGGCTTTCGAAATTCTCCGTGAAATATTTTGTAAATAGAGAAGACATTAGGACATGTATTTCAAAATAGTAGGAAGCACTCATGGTTATTATTCAGTTTCTTGAATCGGTATGCTGTATGAAAAAGGATGATGTTTTAACCAATTGCAATCCAAATGCATGACTTAACTTGTGTTATATTTGGTACTCTCCATAGATCTTCTACAAGGATGATTTGAACTGGCTGAGGGGAATCGGTTGTTACGCCTGGGACACTCCAGAGATCATCCGCGTCAAGAATGCTGATAATCTTCAGAGCGCGGTAAGTCCTATCACTTTACTCATTCTTATGCTACCCTCTATTTCACATCCTTTTAAGATATATATATACACATATTATTCATTATTATTCATTGTCCATTAGCTTCCCTTCCAGTAGATCCTCGTGTTTTCAAAAGTGAAGCTGATCGTCGTGTCTTTGTGTTTTATTTCAGAACAAATACAAAGCCAAAGCTATCGAGTCTTTCAAGGACTTCTCGGTGGTGATGGACACTCCAGTGTACGAGACGTCCAAGCAGAACTCCCAGAACCTGAGCGATGTGAGTGAATCTCAAAATGTTCTGAACAATTTAGACTTATTGCTTTCCATACATTGTATACATATTATATTTACGATATATCTCAACTGTCTTTCTTCTCTTTTTCCAGCTGCACTACCGCTACGATTACAACGCCAACGTCAAGGGAACGAACACCGCTCCGGCTGTTACCATCGACACTCAGAGGGCCGCCATGGCTAACTACATCCAGAGCGATGTGAGATAATATTCCTTAAGGTTCAGCAGCCATGTGTAGAAATTACCATCACATGTTAGATTAGATTGGAACAATAATTTGCAGCAGTATGTTGAGAAAGTATTGCACAGAAAATAGAAATATGGACTATATACTGCAAGAATGTAGGAGCACTCTACACAAGGGAACACTCTGTTGTTGACATAATATTAAGTTAATAACATTATTTGATGTGCCATTTTTGTAGTTTTCTTTACACTTTATTCTTTATTTTATCGTGGGAATTTGTTCAGATCTACAGTATGGTAGAGAGGCTACACTGCACACGCTATTTTTGTTTCATTTAATTGTTTATTTGAATTGGGACAGTGCACATTGATGAACACTTTAAAACTAAATAATGCTTACAAGTGTAAATGAGCCGGATTTTAGCTTTGAGCTAATTTCCATCCGTAGTCCCGTCACATGCAACATATAAGAACATGACATTTAGTAGTAGTAGTGACAAGGAACCCAATGCTATATTGCATATATGCTAGGGGCGGTGGTGGCGAAGTCGATAGGGACTTGGCTTGGCAACTGGAAGGTCACCAGTTCAAGTCCCGGCAAGACCAAGTGCTACGAGGTGTCCCTGAGCAAGGCACCGTTCCCCACACTGCTCCCCGGGCGCCGTTCAAAATGGCAGCACACTGCTCCTAACACTAGGATGGGTCGAATGCAGAGAAACAATTTCCCCAAGTGGATTAATAAAAGTTCATCTTATATTATATTAAATAGGTGTAATGCAGAAAACAGATACAAAAACAACATATGCTTTTTTCCAATTTAAACATTATTCAGTTTACTTAAGATCGTAGGTTCAGGATTTCTCCCTAATGTTGTCCGGTCACTATCTGTTTTTTAAATTATTTACTTATAATCTGTATGTTTTCCAAGTTGAAATGCCTCCCGTCTCACCTCGTTGTCTTTCCCTCTCTCAGAACGTGTACAAGGAGGAAAACAAGAGTTCAATGCCCACCGGATACACCCTGACTAAGGACACACCGCTCATCAAACAGGCTAAACTGAACAGCGTTGTCACCAGCAATGTGAGTACAATTTCTGCCTTAAAGGTCAAAATCCATTTAACCATTAGCCAATCACCAACCAAGGTAACCCCCCCCCCCCTTATCACCTGCATCTCCTCCTAGAGCACCATTGAGTTCTTTGTAACCAAATCTCTCTCAGAGGGGCGTGGGGAGGGGCTCCTTATTTTCATCTAAAGTAACAGACAGAGAATCAGCACTTTGGAAACAGGGCTGAAACAGAGGGGATTATGGGTAATGCTGCAATGATCTGTTTGGTGTTTCAGCCAATCAGACAGGTTCTGGATATATCTGAGACCTGTGATATGTTGATGAAGAACAGTAAAATAGGGGACCTTTAAATCATCCAATTAAACCTTTTTTTGCCAAAGGAGTTTCGATGTTACTGAATCATATCCCCTTGCTTTTTTTGTTGGGTAGGTGAAGTACAAGGAAGCCTATGAGATGACGAAAGCAAAGGCCTACACTCTTCATCCCGAGGGAGTCAACTTCGTCCTCTCAAGGAAGGCTAACAAGATCACCAACGAGGTAAGATTATCAATTAATAGAAATGTACATATTACTGACACTTTTACTGGATCAAACATTCTCTTATGTCGTCTTTCCCCTTCCCCAGCGCCTGTATCGTGAGCTGTACCACAAGCAAAAGGACAAGATCCACACAACCTACGACACCCCCGACATCAAACAAGTCAAGATGAACCAGAAGCACCTCAGCGACGTATGAAAGCATTTGAACCCCACTTATATCATCTGGGTTTGTTTCATTATTCATGATGGAGTCATATGTTGTACTCATGCCACCGTTTTGTTTCCTTCTCCAGTTGTGCTACAGAGAGAAATACTACAACACCAGAGGTCAGCTGATCAATCTGCCCATCACACCCCAGCTGATGCACTGTTACCACGTCAACCAGATCACCAGCGAGGTATAAGAAGAGAAAAACAGAGGAGAGATGTGCTTTAAATCGATTTACATTCATTTCTTAAATGCTCATTAAAACCATTTTGTGTCTTCAGCTGAAATACAAAGAGGATCTGCATTGGCTGAGAGGCATCGGCTGCTTCCTGTACGACACCCCGGAGATGGTGCACGTCCGCAACATCACCAAACAGAAGGTACGTGTTTCCATTTGGATATAACATCCCTTAATATCATGATTATTAGAAACCTCAGTAACTGAAATGTGCAATAAACACCTTTTCAATGTATTAGTGTTATTACTGCGACTTTTATGCTTCGACTTTATGTGAACTTCCTTCAGTGGCTTCACAATCTTTTCCATGTTAACATGTTTCTTTCAGGTGACCTACCCAGTGGAGGCTAAGAAGAACCTGGCCAACTTCTCCGTGGTCCTGGACACACCGGAGTATAACCGCGTGACGGAGCTGAAGACCCACATGAGCGGCGTGAGTCAAGTTCCCACACATCACATTTAGGGACTCATTTAAGCGATGTCTATACGGACTTATGACCTTTTTTCCCATCTTAATTGCAAAAAACATCCAGATGAAATCTGTCCTGTAGTGGAATTAAATATACCCTATTGTGCCTTTTCCCCTTAGTGTGTTATATAGGTTTGTGTGCATGTAAATGGTCTGTAAAGGCTACAATCCCAACGTTTCTCTCCCACACACTCCCCCCTCCTTCCTGAGAACCTTGATTTGATGTAAACATGTCACGGTAGAGGCTCAACATACACAACCTGGAAATGAGCACAATATGTCCTTTTAACACATTCTTAGTCCTTCTCCAAATGAATACAAATACTTTAGATTTTAATTTGACCCGATGTGTCATTTTAAAAACAATGATTCAACATTCAAGATGCAAGGCTTTATTGTCATTTGCACATTTCAGTAGCTACAGTGCAGATATGGCAATGAGCAACTTAATTCACAGGCTCCTGCAACAGAGCAACATGAATATATCAACCCGGTCTCACAGTCTGCGTACAAATGACACGACTTTGCAAAGGCGTGCAATAGATACGCAGAAGTCTGATTTTGCGTGCATATGATACGCTGATATTCAGTGGCGGTTCTAGACCAATTTGACTGTGGGGGCCAGGCTGGGGCCAGTTATTTTCTGAGGGGGGCACAATAAATGCGGGACGAAAAAGACAAAGACAGTATGAAGTAATTGCGCATAAGAAAACAATGCAATACAGTTATTGGTATTTGTTTCAGCACACATATTTATTTCAGATACTTATAGTTACAGTTTTTACGCTCTATAGATCCGACTAGAAAGACAAATAGCGTTAGTTATGCCAAGAAATCGTTTAATCATAAACTTTTTTTTTTTCAGGGGGGCCACAGGGGGGTCCAAAGTCAGTGTTAGGGGCGCACTGGCCCCCCCCCCCCCTGCCCCCCCTAGAACCGCCCCTGCTGATATTGCACCTCAAACATTTAAACACAGAGCTCTGTGGCTTCAGGCTTGATCGCCGTTCCAATGACAGTTTTAATGTTTGCGGTGCAATAAATGACACAGCAGCTTATTGGGTTAGGGTTAGGGTTAGGGTTAGGGTTAGGGTTAGGGTTAGGGTTAGGGTTAGGGTTAAATAAATGGCAGAGATATGTAGAAAATAAACGCATTTAAGATACGTTCATAACAAACGTAACGTGGGAGTATCATATGCACGCCTTTGCAAAGTTGTGTCATTTGTACGCAGACTGAAGAGAGTGGGCTGAATATATATAGGACATAGAACACGTAAAACAGATATTGGCACAATGTATATCAACTTCATCACATTATTATCTCGAGGTTCACATTCAGAAAAGAGTGTCAGAAAGCAAACATCGCGACGTAATCTGTTTGAGCTTTTGTCTTGACGTGTTTGTGCTTCTCTATTCTCAGATGATCTACAAAGCCCAGGCTAAGGAGGACATGTCGAAGGTCAGGACCACCGGGGACTCTGTGGACATCAAGAGAGCCAAATGGGCCCAGCTGCTGACCAACAACGCAAGTTCAGACACAACCACCACCACGAGTCGTTGCATTAATCATTGCCTTCTGCTGATAATCTAATCCAGCGTTGTATCTGTTTCTCTACAGTACCAGTACACCAGCTTGGCTTCCAAGGAGAGAGCTCACTTCACTTCAGAATATGAAACACCAAGCATGGGTCATTCTAGGAAAATGAAGGTGGTCTGCAGTGACGTAAGTATTCCCCTTCCTCTTTTATTCTTATCATTGTTTACTGGGTGTTTGTAACCTCTCACATCGGAAGAACTTAAGTTAATATCTTTGTATATTTCCAGAGATATCATGTCGCTGATTTTCTACAAGTGGATATAAATGACTGTACATTCTGTCAGTGCGCTCATGTGTTGCATACATGATGTCTTCCCTCAGAACAAATACAAAGACCAGTATGAGAAGATGAAGCACAGATACACCGCCATCGCTGACACGCCCCTCCTGATCCGCGCCAAGAAAGCATACGTGCAGTCCAGCGATGTGAGTATACCTCAAATGATTTCCAATGCACTTAACCCTTAGATGCCCTTAGAGTGCCTGGACCCTACTCTTCCATAAGTGGATCAAAAAGGACCCGTATTAGAATAATATGTGTTTTTATGCCATGTTTGTAATTTTGGTTAAGAAAAATCACTTTTATAATATTTAGTATTATATTTTGGTTCACACTAGAAATATTTTATATTTACTTTTTCACTATTTATCATTTTAGACATTTTTTTTACATTTTGAAAAAAAAGTTTTGAACATATCGATGCAAAGATCTCCGTTATTCTGAGTCCCTCACAGTGTTCCAGTCCCTTTTCAAAACTCATCTCTTCTCCTCTTGTCTACTCGTAGCCCCCCCCCCCCCAGCAATCCATGCCGGTTGATCAAGATAGTCCTACACCCCCCACCCTAACCTTCCCTTATATTGGAAAGTGATTTTGAGTCCTTGAAAAGCCCTATAAAAATATAATGTATTATTATTATTATTATTATACTGACAGGTATCAGATCTTGCTGTGTAAAATAATCTTCCTCAGAGGTGTTACGTGTGATGCAGTCTGTGTGGTCCACAGTGAATGTAGTCCTGACAGCAACAGGTGATGAGAATCAAAGGTTCCCAGAGGATCCCATAGGAAATGCATGCGGGTAATTTTTGACCCACTTATGGAAGCTTGGGGTAGAAATACAAAAACTACAATTTCTTAAAATGAATGGCACGATATCCAAAACATGTTTTTTGAGGAATAGCTGGAATATGAAATGATTCAAAAATGTAATTACAAAGATACTTCAAGAGAACCACCTCACCGGGTCCAAAAAGACCCACTTGTGCATCTAAGGGTTAAAGCTCCTCTGTTTGTTTTGTGAAGACATTTTTTTGTAAAGCGACTTTGACTACCTAGAAAAGCACTTTATAAATGAAATATATTATTATTATTATTATGAGCGAACCTTTATAAATATAACATTCATATGAGTGCAATCATTTGACGCTTTTTGTAGTTTTCTCAGCTTATCGTCAGAACAGTCGTGTAAAAAAACGTGTTATTAAACCTGTGTTACTTCACTTGAATAAACTACTAATTAAGCCATGAAATGTATTCGTTAATGGTATGTATTTTAAGTCAATGATAGTCTTAATATGTTTCATTTTTCTTTCATTTCCCAAACTACTACCATTAGAAATCAGTGGCGTTTCTCCACGGATGATAATGATGTCTCTACATATGTTTTTGTGTGTGATGAAAATCTGACCCCATATGTTCTTTCTGTCTTCAGCTGCGTTACAAAGAGACCTTCGAGCTCGCCAAGGGCCACTACCAAACCGTGAAGGACGCTCTGAACATCACCTACCATCGCAGAGTCACTGACGACATCAGCGAGGTCAGGAATACAATTGATTGTTATTATGAATAACGTTCGATAAATAACGTGCGATTACGTAACTACCGCTACGGTTTTTGCACTACTAAATACTGTTAATATGTACATTAATTATGTGACCGTCTATGTTTCCTGTAGTTATTGAATTGCTCTTTTTACCGCACTGTTAGTGTACAGTTTTATTTTTGTACTGCGGTGTTTTTTGTATTTGTGTAACTGGTAACGATTTCCTTCGGGATGAATGAAGTCTTATCTTATCCACTTGATCTTTGCGTGCTAAGATCATTTTGATTCAACTCTCTTATATGTGTTTCTCCATCCTTCAGGTTAAATACAGGGAGAAGTACATCAACTCTCTGGGAACCTGGAAGTCTATCCCCGACCGCCCTGAGTTCTTCTACAGCAAGATGGCCAACGACAACATCAGCAGCGTGAGTGATCATGACTTGCTTTCCAAATAATTTACTCACAGCGTCAAGATTCAGAATTAGAAACAGGTTTATCACCAGGTCGGTTTACACGTACGAGGAATTTGACTTGATGTCGTGGTGCATACATACAAGTAAAACAAAAATAAAAAAACACAGATAGAGAACTATTACAAGAAAACTATAATAATATTAAAACATATTACAAATAATAACAAATATAGTGAAATCTAGCAGTATTTACATAATAAAACAAATAAAACAAATAAAACAAATAAATAAATAATAAAATAAATAATAAAATAAATAAATAAATAATAAATAAATAAACAAATACATAAATAATTAAATAAATAATAAAATCAACAAATAAATATACAAATAAATAATAAATAAATAAACAAATACATAAATAATTAATTAAATAATGAAATAATAAATAAACAAATAAATAGTTAAATAAATAAATAAACAAATAATTAATTAAATAAATACTAAATTCATAAATACATAAATACTAAATTCATAATACATAAATAAATGTGAGTGTCATACTTTTTTTTGAATGTATTTATTTTAAACAATATCTTTATTGAGTTTTTCCTTTTTTACAAACACAAACAATGACATCCTCAAATACACATATTAACAATGAGTGAATAAGACATGTACAAATGAGTGGGCAATCCATGTATAATATACAACATTTTACTTTTGTAACCAGCAAAAACAAAGACTCACCAGGTGACAAGACTAGACATTTTTTAATAAAATAACTATCAATTATAATAATCAAATGCATTTAGAGACAAACATAAAGGCACTCAGCAATACAACCATTTCCAAGCAGCTATTTACTTTGGCTTTCAAGAAACTTCAGTAAGGGATACCTCCGTTTTGTGTGTCATGCTTTGTAATAATTGTATTTAATCTGTTTTTTCATATCGCCCTCTTCAGGTGAAGTACAAGGAGGACCTGGAGTGGCTGAGGGGCGTCGGCTGCTACGTTTGGGACACACCTGAGCTGGTGACCGCCGAGAAGAACAAGGCGCTGTACAGTGGGGTAAAGAATCTGACTATTATTTAATTATATATACTATTATATTCATTTTGCAGTCTTTTAGGGGTTGGGATGTGTGTGTGTGTGTTACAGTATGTTTTGTGTGTGTGTGTGTGTGTGGGTGTATGTGTGTGTGTGTTACAGTATGTTTTGTCAGTGTGTGTGTGTGTGTGTGTGTGTGTGTGTGTGTGTGTGTGGGTGTGTGTTTGTGTGTGGTGTTGTGTGTGTGTGTGTGTGTGTGTGTGTGTGTGTTGTGTGGTGTTTGTGTGTGTGGTGTGTGTGTGTGTGTGTG